GTCTTGTGAAGATCTCCCGTAAGTTTTCGACGTGTTGATCAAATGTTCTTCCTAGAACAATTATGTCGTCTAAATAGACAAGACAGGTTTTCCAGTTAAGACCTTGCAATACACATTCCATCAGTCGCTCGAATGTAGCTGGAGCATTGCACAATCCAAATGGCATGACGGTGAATTGCCACAACCCCGATCCGATAGAAAACGCTGTCTTTTCGCGATCGTTCTTGTCGATTTCTACTTGCCAGTATCCGCTTTTCAAATCAAGCGTGGAGAACCAACTTGAGCCAGATAGGGTGTCCATGATGTCATCAATCCTCGGTAACGGATAGCTGTCCTTTTTAGTCACATCATTTAACTTCCTATAATCAACGCAAAAACGGGTAGTGCCGTCCTTCTTCTTTACCAAAACAACTGGCGAAATCCAGGGACTTGATGACGGTTCGATGACCCCTTGATTCTGCATTGTCGTTATCATTTCGTTTACTTCTGTTTGTTTTGCTAGAGGAAGACGTCGTGGTACTTGTCGGATCGGTTTCGAATCCTGAGTATCAATTCGGTGAGTTACCAGAGCGGTTTTACCTTGGTCATTGTCACCGGTTGAAAACACGTCTGCAAAATCGGCAATCAACGCCTCGGCTTTTAGACGGTCTTCTTGATACAAATTGAGTTCATCCAGTAGATTTTTGGTAAGTTCTTTGAGTCTACCTTTGTCAGTTGGTAGAACCTTTTCCTGTTGCTCCATATCTAATGATTTCACCAAATTTATTGATTGGCAATTACCTATTTCCTCGCCTTTTTTAATTTTAATAGAGTTTTTAGCGGTATTCATTATTCTGACAGGAATAAGACCATTTTTGTTCGCTTCTACCAGGCATTTTCCAATGACCGCGTTCTGTACATTTGTCGTTGAGGTTGGCTCCATCAAATAGAACTGGTGGCCCCCAGGACCGCAATTCAACTTGCCCCATACGATGTTTTCAGGTGATTGAGGTAGTTCTAAGTCACAATCGACTGTCACTCGAATGCATTTTTCGTGGCTATCCCCCATTATCACTTCTGTATTTCTCCATCTAAGAATGCGTTTTGCTAAGTCAATTTTGAACCCATATTTTGTCAGAAAGTCGACACCTATTATGCATTCGTCGATGATATCCGCGACTAAGAATGAACCTTCGAATAACAAGTCGCCTAGCTGAACAGTACGGAAAATCTTTCCATAGACTGGTGCTGTTCCTCCGGTAGCTGTTCGAAGGATGTATTTGTTAGAAGTCTCTTTCTTCAGATTGTGTACCAAATCAGATCTTAAAATCGATTTTGTTGCTCCGGTGTCGACTGTAATTACGCATTCTCGTTGATCAACTTTTCCGTTCAGCCATAGGTTGTTTCGATTTCGATGTAGTCTGGAAACGTTAATTACGGTACTGGAGGCGTCAATTCTACTAGCCAACCTCTGCCCCACAAAGTTGGCTCTTATTAGTTTTCCGCCCCTTCGTTAGAAGGGGCTGATTGTGATACAGGATCATCTTCTCTTCTTTTGCGCCATCTTGTCGCGCAATTTCGGCAGTAGTTATCTTTTAGGCGGTGTTTACAATCACGACGTAGATGGCCTTTTTCACCACAAATCCAGCATTGGGGTACACCATACTGTTGGTGTTCGCGTTTCACAACCACCTTCTGGCAAGAGCATTCTTCATGTACTTGGCGTAGACGTACGTCACTTTGATGCTTGCTTTGCCGATTCAAAAGTGAGACTGTGCGCAACGGCATCCTTGAGTTTTCGTTTATCTGACAAGAGAAGGAATTGCTTGAGTTCCGAATCACGAAGAGCTTTGATAAACGTATCCAGGGCAGTTTCGTCTCTATGCGGGGTCTGATGTCGGATACGACAGCAATGTCAACCGTTCGATATCTTGTGCCAGCTGCTGAATGGATTCACCAGATCGTTGCGTTCTGTTTCTAAGCTGAGACCGATAAATCTGTTTCATGTGTTCTTCACCATAACGTAAATCCAACGCGCTAACCAGAACTTCATAGTTGAAGTGGTTCTCCGCCGGAATCGTCTGAAGAACCTCTGCTGCTGAACCTCGCAGGGCCAGTATCAGTGCTGTTGCTCGTTCTTTTCCGTTCCAACAGTTACTAGTTGCCGCTGCTTCGAACTGGGTTTTATAAACGTTCCAGGACATCTCTCCGTCAAATGCTGGTACCTTCAAAGTTCTTCCGGATGCGTGATCTAACGGCATGGCCATTTTTTTGGATTGCTCCAATTCTCGCTTCAATTTGTCTATCTTGTGATCTACCTCAACGGTCTGACGATCAAGTTTCTGCTCGATCATTTCTGTTCTTGTTGACTGTTCTTCAATCTGTTCTGCCACTTCCAATTTTACGTGTTTTAGCTGGTCCTTGTCGGACTGTTCCTTGATCTGTTCGGACTGTTCCTTGATCTGTTGTTTTAACTCTTTTGTCTGTCGTTCGGACTGTCGTTCGGACTGTTCTTTGATCTGTTTTAACTCTTCTGTCTGTCCTTCGGACTGTTGTTTTATTTCAGTTGACATACTAAGCAGAAGTTCCATCATTTTAGCGGTTGTAAACGTGCCTGTGCTAATTTCATTGTCTTCGTCAGCACCATCAAACTTGAATTCGTCTGGGTTCTTACCTTCGTCAATGAGAGCTTCTCTCAGACGTGCTACTAGTACTTCTTTGTTGCCACTTGTGACAAGGCTTCGTTTCTGTAGTTCTTCTCGTAGCTGAACTACGTTCAAACCACACAGTTTTGACATCGTGTTCATTTTCTCTGAGTAGTAATTCGCTGGTCGAAGATCCCACTTCTGACACCAATGTTATAATATTCTCGCTGTCGTAACAGACTTACGATGCGACGGGTTCAAATCTTCGACGTTTATTTCCAGTAAATTCGCACTAACGCAACAATTAACTTTTAAATCTTTCAAAATCTATCGTTATGACAACGTCAACAAACAAATCAAATATCGCTTTAAATAATTCACCGAATCGCTATTCACAAAATCACGAATATCACTAATCACGAATATCACTAATCACGAATATCACTAATCACGAATATCACTAATCACGAATATCACTAATCAAGAATCTTCTTGCGACGTGCGCTTATATACTCTTCGCAAGCGTCGTTTCTAGATTCTTCCAGATGGTCCGATTCTAGCATACTCTAGAATACTCCAGTCACTAGAACATTCCAGAATACGCTAGAATCCAGTGCGTTCGGTATCACGGTTATAACAATATGATATTTCATAATGATGATTATATTTGGCGATGATTATATCATATTCCTTAATATGATGATTATATCATGTTCTATGGTGGTGATTATATTATGTTTCATAATGATTATATTATATTTCATGATGATTATATCATATTTTGGTTTTCCAGTGGCGCTTGCAAGCACATGTAAGCCATCAGTTAATAAACTTATTTAATAATTTGTATTTCATGTCTAATTATACTTCATACATACTGCTGCACTCAACAATTATTCTCTATTAGTTTAATTTTGTTTTTTCTTTTTCTCTGTTGAACAAATTATAATTAAGTTATTTAGCCAATAATTAATTAATTTATTTATTAGTTTCTTAAACCATTTGTTTTATTTTCCGTATGTAACTCTTTTTACTGTGTTTATTTTTTTATGCATCTGTCAGATTTTGACTTTTAAGAGAACAAAATATTCAGGAATGGATAAATTGAGCGAATGCTAATAAATTTCACAGGATTGTGCAGCAGTTATATTGTATGCGTCCGAATGTGCCACTAAATCAGCTCTTGATGCAATTCAACTCCTAGGTGAGCCAGTTTTGATATATTATGACATCAAACCTCCCTATGACGCGGACCGGTGCTCAATTTAATAATCATGACGCGGACTTGGTATAAAATGATAACGAAAAATAAATAACGTCCAAAAAATGTTTAAGCATGAAAAGTACAGAAAAAAATAATGGTTTAAAAAGACAAATAAATAAAATAATTAATAAATGGAATTAGTAAGTATTTTAAGTAAAAAGGTTACTCTCTCTTTTGCACTTGCTCAGAGGTTTCAACGACAAAAAACACAGCGTATATGAATACGTGTGAAAACCACACTTCATATACACATTGCATATGATAGGCGGGGATCTATTTGTATTCGAACCCAGTCACTGCAGCAGCAAGATTAGGCGCTTTCAACCATCGAACCATCACGCCGATCGATATGAAAAAAATAGACAAAATTGAGTAAATGGCAAAGTTTTAATGAGTGTTAATAAGATGTCTCGTGGTTAAGGTCTTTCCCTGATATGCTGATTGAGTGGCAACTTGATAGTTATGTTTTCGTTAACGAAGGTTGTGTATAGTAGTTTTGATTGGTGGAAATAGAGGATGGATGACGTGGTTGTTGTTATTTTCTACTTCCTTGAACAGTCTTGAATCGAGTGTGTTGAATATCTGAGTGATGGTAAAATATGATGTAGGTAGATAGTTGAGGCGAATCAGTTTTTTGATGAGAGATTGTAGTTGCTGAAGTTGTTGTGTAGCGAAACCAGATCAGGCCAGACCAGGAGGGAACTGCATATTTGATGCGTGAGGTGATAAGTGATTCAGTGATGTCGAATAATTTGATGCCTCTGAGACCATGTGAGTGATGAGGTGGTAAGGTAGGTGTCGTCGGCGTATTTGATGATTTGATTAGAACTATGAGGAGTTTCGAGAATAGAAGCATTGATGGTAAAGGTTGATGGTCGAAGGACTAACCTTGAAATACGCTAGAATTAATAGGTAGAGTAGATGAAAGAGTAGAGCTAAAAAAAGTTGAATGACTCCTATTAGAAAGAAAATTTATTATAATGTTGTAAATATTGTTAAGTAGAAGAAGAGAACTAAATTATTATTAGTGAGTGAGATGTGATTAATCAATCAATCAATCAATCAATTAGCTTATAAAGCGCTATTTCCGCAATGTTCTACAGGGCTCCTCAATGTATTTTGCAAATAGATGTGTCTTGAGATTCGCTCTGAACTTTGTAAGTGATGGAGAAGTAGTCAGAGAAGTAGGTAGAGAGTTCCAGAAAAAAAGGCCAGAAAAAGCAAATGCAGAGTTAAGAAGTAGTGAAAACAAGAAGACGATCGTTTAGGTTCAATTAATATATCTGATAAGTACTTAGGAAATAATTTAGATTGAGACTTATACATAAACGTGCAAATTTTAAAAATTATTCTATGTTTTATAGGTAGCCAGAAAGGGGCACAAGCAGAGTTAAAAGCTTTACTTATAGGATAGAGTGTAGAATCAGGAAAACCATAGTAGAGCGAGTTACAATATTCAATTCTAGTTAAGACTAACGAAGTAACAAGAAGGAGAAGAGTAGGGTCATCAAGAAAAGGCATAAGTGTTTTATTCTACGTCGTTGAAAGTAAGAACTTCTAGCAACACTATTTGGGAAGAAAGAGATATACTAGAATCAAAGGTAAAGCCTAGACTTTGAGAGTGTCAACAGCTTTAGAACTTATCTAAATTATCCTTTATTCCAACAAAATAATTTCATTTTACCTGGATAAAAGTGTACATTCATTTTCAGGCAAACAAACAAATGGTTTAACACGATCAAAATAACACCAAGTTATATAAAAAAACTAACCTAACTTCAATCAAAATATTGATTTATAATTTTATTTAAGTATTCTAATCACGTGTTAAAACCGCTGATCATGCTCATCTCAACAATAATATTCAATTTGTGATAGGTTAATATTTGCGCGCGCTCATTTCCAGACTCATCGCACTCAACTAATCATTTGTTTGTAAACAGCTGACCACGTTCACGCGTGAACTTAACATCACCTATATTATTGAACCTGTTGTGATTTCTTTCGCACGCTCACTTCCATGCTTGTCTCGAATATTTCAACAGAGTGTTTTCAAAATGCTGACTCATTTCATCAGTAATATTTAACAAATAATTTACATTTCTCAGGTGGCAACGGTTACATTAATGATTACCCTTGCGGTAGGTTGCTAAGAGATGCGAAGTTGTACGAAATCGGAGCTGGTACTACTGAAATTAGAAAAATGATCATAGGAAGAAGCCTTAATGCTGAATATTCTTAGATATATTTTTTTTCATCTGTATAAAACCTGAGGCGATTGTTCTCGAAAAAAAATTTTATAGTTTTATTGCAATATGGTATGAGGATTTGACTTGTAACCCCTTGGAAATGTCGACGCTTTCAATCACCTCCATTTTAAAGGCTTTATGATTACTTAATTTCAATTATTTAAGACACTTATATTAATAGTTTCGTATTCATCAGTTTATTAACTTTTTTAATTATTGTAATTGAACTAATTATTTCATTTGCTATATTATTTTCCATCTACATCATCTTTATCAGAACTAATGAAGTGTTCATATTAATATTTTTAATAATTAAATTTTATATAATAATTTTAAATAATTTTATAAATCATGCTTATTCATTTTACGTCCTACCTCGGGGAACCGAGTCTCTGGACGCAAAACGAAGATTGATTGATGCTTATTCATTTTATTATTTGAAAATTTTAGTTTATTAAATTAGCAATGGAGCTTGAAATTTTGCGGCCTTATAGATTTTACTTCAGACTTGAAGAAAGTGCATAAAACTTTTTAAATTATTTCATGGTTTAAAATTCATTTGCACGGTCATTTATTTGGCTTTATATATAACCGTATGTTTGTTTCTGTTTGAAAATTTTGAATAATGATTTATTTATCGAAGGTTATCTTCTTAATGTCATAACTGACGATATGTACGGTATTTACGATTGTTAAGCTTATACAGGTATTATGCGTTTATTGATGATTGTGACGATATATATATATTTTGTGTAAATAATACACCAACTGATAACAGATCGTTTTTTTATGTCTGCATAATTTTTTTTTATTTTGTTAAATTCTTCATCTTTGAAGCGTTGCTGTTATTAAAAACACGTCTTGTAAAGATTACTCATAATAAGCCTATTATTTATTAAGATATCTATTTTTTAAAAATGTGGACCGAAAGATTTATTATTACAACGAAGCAGGATTTTATTAGAACGTGTTCATTAATATAAATAATCTGAAGTGTTGTCAATTAAATGGTTTCGATCAGTTGAATTTGAAGGTGATGAACCTTTTGTTGTCTAGGTCGGCCACGTGCAGGAGTTGTCTTTCTGTATCGAAGCATATATCTAGAGGGAAACTTAAACCAAAGGTTGGAGAAATAAGCTCCCTTACATGCTTTAATGTACGTGATTCTAGCAATAAAATTCTGTGGTTATAATGATCGGAAACGAAAACTAGATTGTTTATCAGGTCAGCGCACAATCTGAATGGACCGTTGAGTTGTTCTTGCGTTGTTGCTTGTATCTGTGTAGCGCTAAAACTGTAGGTGCTCATTTTTCTATCCACGGCACCAGGTCCACCTTTCATTATCCCATAAGTTGCCAACATTTTTCCTGTTCCATCAATTAAAACAATCCTGTTGAATAGCTCTCCGACTTGGCTGATTGCATACCTTTCCGTACGCTCCCTTGGGAATGTTGCATTCGTTTCATTTTCCGTCTATTAAATTAATAATTAGTTGTTATTATTATAATATTTTATGATTTCTGGCATTATTTACCCAACTCCAAAATCAATTTTTCATAATTTTATAAGAGTGTTTGCTTACATTGATTTAATCTTAGACTTCAACAAATCAATTTAAGAGTTTCAAATTTGATTTAGGAGGCCATATATATTAATTACTTTATTGGATAGTGCAATTTTTCTTAGTATATTCGTTTTTTAGAAATCGGTCATAACATTGTCTCACTAGGTGATAACTCAAAAGGAGCAAGTAACTATCAATTTTTTGTTTTGTTTGAAAGAAAAAATAATTTTATGGCTGTTAAAAATAAATTATATTAAAAATTATGACATAATATATATTTTTTATAATACCACCGTTTTTACCAATTGAAAATTTTATCATTCATTGCATTAAATTGCTACATTCTTGCAATTTGCTGCACCGGTGGTTAATCGTTATATATACTTGTATCGTTATAAGATGAAAAAACGATTATTTAGTCTTGCGACTAATGAATTGACAGACGAACGACTGGCTAGCTTGCTGACCAATCGACCGGCAAACCTAATAATGACTTACTGAGTTATTGAATGACTTGCTGATTGAACGACCGACCAGCAGAAAAAAGTATTTCTTCAAATATCAATCGATAAATCAATTAATTGTTAACTTGATGGTTATTCATCTTTTTTCTGATAGCATAAAGCTGATTTTATTGGCAGTGCGTTAATATCTTTTGATTCCTTTTTCTCTTTCTTTCCCCTTCTTCCTCTACTTTTCTTGTTTCTCTTTCCTCTTTTTTTGGTTTGTCACTTCAATATCTTTTCGATTTTCAACATAAAACGGTGCTTTTTCTGTGCAAAAACAGAGTTTTAATTACATACACTGCTCTGCTCAAAAGGTGGGGCATGGCTCTCCCGGCCCTCCTAGATCTGCCACTGTATGTACCGAAGTCCGTAGTGGCGTATCTTAAGAAAAACAATAAACTCGTATTATTTTATATTTTTAATTTGTGAAAATAATTACTTTTTTAAATAACTTTTGTTTATAATTTTGCTTATCAACGATGTTTTGACCCAAACCGAATTTAAAAATACTAAATTGCTTTTTTAATTCAGTCATTGCCATCCTCATTTTAACAACTGTACTACTAACCCATGTCAGAATTAATATATATATATATATAATTTAGGCCTTTATTCTGATTAAAATCATTGGAGACATGAATATTTTAACCTGGGTTATGGAAAACGCTTCCTGACTATCATCATCATTCAACTGTATAGCGTGATATGGCTTATTGATGCTTGAATCAAGCGGAATTTGTCGAATGATCGTTCCGTTAATGTCTATTAGTTTCAACTTTGACACTTCAGGACACGTGACAATCAAATGTTTGCAATCTTTTGAAGCAGAAAGCGCGTTTAATCCTTCTCTGTTTCCAAATAACAACCTTTCGTATGTCGATGAATCGTCTGGTTTATCGGTAGAAAGCTCAATAAGAATTTTTACTTTGTGCAGTTTATCACTTTGCCATTCCGAAATAAACAAATAGTCTCTAACAACTGCCATCGAATATGGGTTTTTCAAACCAGGAACAGTCATAGAGTCATTTCTGACAAATCCTATAGGTTGTTATATTATGTGAATTAACATTATTATTTATCAATTCTTTTAGTTAAATAATCGAAGAGTGGCTATAGAAAACCGCAAACCTAACACTATTAAACATTTAAAATTAAGTTGTCAGACCATTAAGACCTATTTTTTTTATTAGTCACTTAAGCAGCCAACAAACTCAGATTTTCACTAAAGTTGTAACATTAATTAGATGATGTTTATTTAAGAATCAAAAGTTAATATATTTTTCGTCAGGTATTTTTTGGTGTTAAAATTGATCATTGACAACCAGAACCATGAATAAATAATGGTCTCGACCTTTTACACTCAAAATTTGAATGTCGCACTGATTTTAATAAAGAGGGTTGAATTCATAATTTATAAATGTGGATTTTGTTGAATTGTATGACAGGATACCCATTTTATTTTATGTGTAAAAAATTTTCGTACTTTTCAAAATTTGTAATTGTAGAATAAACAACCAGTCTATATGGCGATGATTATTCTGTTTTTCTTGTTTAAAATAAAAAACTTCTTTGTTTGTTTTTAATATAATTGTTTATTAAAGAAACGTTAATTGAAATATCAGAAGACACGTTAGTCGACAAAAAGCGAAAAAGCATACACGTGCAAGCTAGTCAAGTTAGCAATAATATAAGATTGTCTGAAACTATGGAAAGTCATGAATATATTGAAACATATATAATATACATATATATTATTTCAATAAAGTTTTTTATTTTAAACAGGTTATGAGCCCAGAACGCTTAATAAATTGTTTAGAGAAAAAGTTATTTTGAAAAAAAAAGAAAGAGATTGCAATTCGTGACTAAGAGAACTTTTCCAACTATCGTCGAAGCAAGAACATCAATTTTTTTTTCCTTCAAATGAAACAGTTAAGTTGCGCAGCCGATTGGCCCATTTGGAAACGTCGTGTGTGAGATTTCATGGACTACCATGAGGGCGCACTTGATGTGATTGATGGGAAGTTGTCGAAACCAGAATTACTAGAAAATCAAACAGAGCAACAGACAAAAGATTTTAAAAATAAATCAGATCTGTTTAGAAAGGCAAACAGTTATGCCAAATCAGTAATTGCGAATGCAGTCACAGAAGATACATACCAAAAGATAATGGACAAGAACACAGCGTTTGAAGTTTGGGAGGAATTAAAAAGAAATTTTGAAGCGTCAACTAAGGACCAACTGTTCCAAGTTTGTAGCAATTTTTTCGATTTCAATTGGATAGCGGATGTAAATGTATCCGGCCAAATTGCAAGATTGAAGACTTTAAGGAACGAATTAAACAGTGGGCTTCAGGCATCGGGAGAAAATAAACTACCAAAGCTGCTATTAGTATGCAAAGCGATGCAAATTCTCCCAAATAGTTTCCAAAACTTCAAATCAAGTTGGCTAATGCTAGGTGAAGAAAAGCAGTCGATAGATGATTTAATCACTCATCTCTGTGCTTTCGAAAGAGAGATAAAGACTTTCGACACAATCGATAAATCATCAAGGCAGAACGCCTTAGTTGTAAATGTTGAAAAGCCAAGTTTCAACAAATCAAGAGATTTCATTAAAAGGACAAAACCAGTTGGTAACTGCAACTATTGCCATAAACCTGGACACTGGGTTAAGCAATGTAGAAAGTGGGTCAGTGATGGAAGACCTTCTAAAAATTCCAAAAATGTTTCAGCGACACCAAGAAAAGCATATGATGAAATATCAAATGTAGTTTTGTGCACGTCAGCCAGTAATCAAACACTGAGAGACAACACTAAGTGGTATATATTGACAATGGAGCAACAAAGCACCTAACGAACAATCCAGATAATTTTGTTACTTTTGAGAAGTTTGTCGCACCAAGTTCTGTTCAAGCTGCAGGAAAAGAAGTTCTTGCTGCTGTGGGTAGAGGCGAAATAAATATGCTGTCAACAGTAAATAACAACAGTATTTAAAACTCTCAGATGTCTGGTATGTTCCAAATATAGGTAGAAACCTGTTTTCCATATTAGCCACACAAGATAAAAATTCAAAAAACAGCAAGTTTGAATCTTATGCAACCAAATGTCAACTCAGTATAAAGAACCGAGTGGTAGTACAAGGGACAAGACGAGTAGATGGTTCCTTGTATGAGGCAAACTTGATTTCATTAACTCCAGATACACCGACTGAAGTGAATATAGTCAGTGAAAATTCAATAGTGCAGCTCTACCATGAACGTTTTGGTCATCAAGATAAACGTCACATAAAGAATGTTATAGAAAAGGAGTTAAACATTAAAGTTCATCTTGACAAGGATTTGTGTGAACCATGTCTCTATGGTAAAGCACATCGGTTAAAATTTGGCAAGAGAAATGCAACCAATAAACCAGGTGAACTACTATCAGCAGATGTTTGTGGTCCTTTCAGTACAGAATCATTTAATAGTAAACGATATTTTGTTGTTTTCAAAGATCATTACAGCAAAATGAGGTTCATTTCTTTTCTTAGACACAAAAATGAAGTGAAACAGGCACTACAAAATATTTTGTCTCAAGCAGCGACTCAAGGTCATAAAGTAAAAGCAATGGGGGTAAGTTTGACAACGAAGAAGTTCGAAACATCCTGCGCAGCCATGGAATCACGCAAAGACTAACAGCACCATATACACCTCAACAAAATGGTGGTAGTGAACGTGAAAACAAAACAATAGTAGAAATGGTACGCACATTGAAGTACTCAAATCCAGATTTTGAATTTCCAGTCGCTATGTGGGCTGAGTTATGTTCAACTGCAGTATATTTACTTAATCGAACAGGCAAGTCGTCGATTGAAGATAAAAGCCCATTTGAAATTTGGACAGGTAAAAAGCCGAGAATTAACCATTTGAGAATAATTGGCTCTACATGTTTTGTTCACATACCTGATCAAAAACGTCAAAAAATGGATAAGAAAGCCATAAAAGGTTACCTTGTTGGTTACGATGGTGACGAACGCTATCGTATATGGCTCAAAAATCAATATAAAATGATATTCTCAAGAGATGTAGTTTTCCAAGAAAAACCTATGAAATGTACAACATCATTTGAACATCAGACTCAAAAAGGTTTTACAACAAATCAATTGCAAATCAGAAAATGACTCGAGTAGTAGAAATGATGATTCAAAAGAAGAAATTACAGATGACACTGAGAAGATTATATATAATTCAGTTAAAGTTCAACTCAGAGATAGGTCAAGCTTGCAAAAACCTAAGAAGTTAGATGATTATGTGATGCAGGCTGAGACATATTTATTAGATGTACATGAACCAAATACATACGAAGAAGCCATTCAAAGCAGGGAAAGTAAATATTGGAATGATGCCATGAATAATGAAATTAATTCATTAAACAAAAATAGAACTTGGGAACTTTGTGAGCTACCCAGAGGAGCTAAAGTTATTCCATGTAAATGGGTTTACAAAATAAAAACCTTGCCAGACGGAAGTGTAGATAGATACAAGGCAAGACTTGTGGCAAAAGGATTTTCACAACAACAAAATGTAGATTACAATCAGACGTTTAGTCCAGTAGTAAAGTTGACTACAGTTCGCTCTGTACTAAGTATTGCAGCAAGTGAAAAACTGCATCTTCTTCAATTTGATGTATCAACTGCATTCCTGTATGGTGAACTTGATGAAGTGTGATCCACATCAAACAACCAGAAGGATATAATGATGGCTCAAATAAAGTTTGTCGATTGCTCAAAAGTCTGTATGGTTTAAAGCAAGCACCTCGTTGTTGGAATCAATGCTTCGGCAAGTTTCTTTTTGAATGTCGAGTGAAGCGGATCCATGTCTGTATGTTAAAAAACAGAATGAAAACATTATGATGTTATCATTGTATGTTGATGATGGACTGGTAGCCGCTAGCAACACAAAAGATTTAGATCTATTCATTGGAAAATTGAAGCTAAAATTTCAGGTTACAGTTAAACTTGCAACATATTTTCTAGGTCTTCAAATAGAAACTCTATTGGATGGAAGCATAAAAGTTTGTCAATCTGGTTATGCAAGGAAAATTCTTAAACTTTTCAGATTTGAAGAATGTAAACCAGTTCACACCCCAATGCTTAAAGAAAATGATAATTATCAATCAGACATAGCAAGTTCAGAATACCATTTTCGACAACTAGTTGGAGCATTAATGTACCTGATGTTAGGTACAAGGCCAGACATTGCGTACAGCATTAGCTATTTATCACGCTCCCTCGAGAACCCAACACCAGGAGATATAATAAAAGCAAAACGAGTGCTTAGATACTTAGCAGGAACAATCGATCAGAGCATTGTGTACAGATCAGACAGTACAAAAGAAGTTTTACAGTGTTTCAGTGATTCAGATTTTGGAGGCTGTAGAAAGACTGGACGTTCGACCACAGGTATTGCAGTGATATATGCAGGAGGCATAATATCATGGATTAGTCAACGACAGGTCATAGTTGCAACATCTACAACAGAGGCTGAGATCATCGCTGCGACAAAGGCTGTCAAAGAAATAATTTGGCTTCAAAGATTATTCAAATCATTACAGGTTGATTTGAAAGATGTGCCAATCTTGCAAGTTGACAACAGTGCTGCAGTCAAATTGGCTCAGAACCCACAATTTCATCAGCGAACAAAACACATTGACTTGAAGAACTTTTTTATTATAGAAAAAATTCAAGATGGAACGGTTGATATCACACAAATTTCAACAAGTGATCAAGTCGCTGATGAGATGACAAAGCCACTGTACAGAGTCAGACTGAAACTCCTGTGTGGACATATGGGACTAATGTCATAAAATGTTTTGAAACAAGGGAAAGTATTGAAATAATATATATGTATATTATATATGTTTCAATATGTTTATGACTTTCCATAGTTTCAGACAATCTTATATTATTGCTAACTTGACTAACTTGCAAGTGTATGCTTTTTCGCTTTTTGTCGACTAACGTGTCTTCTAATATTTCAATTAACGTTTTTTTAATAAACAATTATATTAAAAACAAAGAAGTTTTTTATTTTAAACATTTCTTGTTCGCCCATTCCTATTTTATTTCGAAATAATTAAGTTTATCAAATTTTACATTTTTCTTATACATTTTATTATTTATCAGATAATTCCTGTAAAATGTTTTTTTAATTATTCTGAACAAAATTCAGAACATTTAATTTTTTAAAATTCAGATTTTTTTAGATAATGTACAAAAAATATTTCAAACCAAAATTTCTCAGAATTTGAAAATATATTTGAAGATATTCGGTTGGGACTAAATAAAACATGCCGAGTTCTGGTGCTGAGCACAAAATCCATTTGAAATATGAAAGTTAAAATATTTATATTTTTAGCAAAATTAAAATCAACCTATTTTTCTGTTTTCTATGTTTCTAGCTTCCTTTATAACAATTTCTCCTGATGAGTAGGTGGCGCAACACAAATAATCTTCGTCGTCGTCTTCTACGAGGGCCATACAAATTGCGTAATCATTAAATGTAAATGTCTGCATTACTACTGGCTGTTTTGTCATTGTCAACGATGCCAGGCGTTTTTCTGTTTGGATCATGTTTTTAAATCTCTGATCAATTATATTACTGATATAGCAAATGTTATAAATTAAAAGTTAAAGGCTATCTAATCATAACCGATATTATGTAATTATTATCTACGAGTAGTTTAATTTTATTGTAACACAAAAGATTATTTTAATATTTCTTTACTGTAGCCCCGTAGCTAATGAATAAATAAATTAAATAGATAAATGTTTCAACATTTGAATTTTTGTTGTATATTTTTTTCTCGCTAATTCGAAAAACATAATGGTGTTCGATATATTATGCATTTTTTTAAAATATACTTAAGATTTTAGCTTAATTTTTGCATGCAAAGTATAAGAAAATGTGTAAAAAAAATGGGAAAATTTTAAATAATGCATTTATATTTTCTATCAATCTTTGATGTCATAATTTATAGCGGTGTTATTACATAAAGCGGTTTTATTAAATGTGTTAATCAACGAAGTTTTAAATTCAAGTCAATGGCATCAATTCCAGCGCTTTTGTAACTTTTAAAAGTCTTTTTCTATCTCTGGCAAATTTTAACCGAATTCAACGCTTTTACTTCAGTAATTGCACAATTTCATCCATTTATTTCTCAATGGGTCGTCCAACTTTTCTCTTCCAGATTTTCCTTAAAATAGTTTTTCCTTAAAATGCCATTTGTCATTTTGCTATTATCTTCAAACAGTCTCAGTGTGATCTTTCCATGGAAAATTTTTTCCCCAAGCTGGTATCTTGTGGCCTTGTTTCTCACCATCCGTTTTCCATTGAGTTCCTAAAACTTTCTGAAACACTTCACTTTGAACTCATAGACTCTACATGCTTTATTTGTTGTTTTGTGCATGTAGAAAGTTTTGTTTTTTCAAATGTCCTGAATCGATAAAAACATTATTTTTATTCAATAGCTTCAACATTGTTGCTAGTTATAAACTGCTCGCTTTGTTATAGTTTTAATCAAATGTATAACACCGCATAAAAATGTTAAAACTATATTATTCCAACAAGCCTTTAAATAAAACCTAATTTGTTAAATAGCTAAAGCATTTTCTCAAAGTGAACATTAAAATTGATAATTGTATAATGGTTCAATGGTAAATACTACATAATTTTATTTAAAATCTGAAATAAGCAAATAAGTTTGGCAGTAGGTAACTAAATTGTAAAAAAAACTGCCTTTTTGCAGATAGATTTTTTCTAAAACATATAAAAACATAACTTACTTGAATACTTTGTTTTGAATTCCAGAAAACCAATCAAATTGTCATCTATGGCTCCTTCGGAAAAAATTTTGTTTCTTATCGTTCCAGCCGGGACACCACCACAAATACTCATTTTTCTGTTCAATACAACTTCAGTGGCTATTTTGGATGGAACAAAAGAGGGTTCCACCTCATAAGATAGCTCTGCAAATGCCGTTTTCCTAAGCTCTTTAAATCTTCTGAGAATTTCTTTAGCTGAACAAACTAGTATATCAGGTGTGGCTTTATAGAGCAAAAGTTGAGAATATCTGACATATAATAACATCGAAATATGTGATTGATTTTTTAATTTCAAATTAAATTTCAAAAACTTAAAATTTTTGAACCGGTACAGATGTTGATTGTCTTAAGTATGTTGGTATGTTAAAAAAAAGTCTCAAGTGAAGCTTAATTATGATCTATTTATATATTTTTTATTTAAACCACCATCATCATTTCTATTAAAATAATAATATAAAATAATAATAATAACTTGAAAAATAAAAGGTGAGGCGTTTCAAATTTTGAATCAGAACATTATAGCAGTCTTATCAGAGCCGGCTTTAGGCATAGGCAAACTAGGCAGTCGCCTAGGGCCTCCGATTTTTGGGGGCCTTGCAATGCAGATTAATACAACTTTTTTTTAGAAATTCTTCTTTGATGAATTAATTATATATACCTAACTGTTTTATTTTCAATTAATCGCAGTATTATGCAGCAAGAATTTAAGAATTCAAGTTGAATTTTTTTAAATGTGTAAAATTTTCTTGTACACACTTTTTAAAAATGTCAATTTTTTTGTCCAGGGCCTCCTCCTACCTGGTCTTATATTAACTATGGTCATTAGAGGCTGTTTTTATTCATTAGGCTAATTTTTAACATTTTTTCTTTGTCGACTTTTGACCATCGTTATGCTCGTTTTTCATTGGCTGTCAGCAAAAAAAAATTGTAAATTTTAGATATTTCAGTGGAAAACAAACTTGTTTGAAAAAATTCAAAGACGATGATAACATATTTGTTGTTGTACAATTATGTGAATGAATGAAATTAAGTTTTTTCAAAGAACATAAAGTGATATTTTTAAAAGTTTTAATATAATTTTAGAACTAGAATTGCCCTCTCCGTATACTTTCCATTTTAGATATTATTGGAAGCACGAGTAGTTTTGATGTCAGACATGTATTAAAATTTGCCCACGTAGCACACAATTAATGATAATGCAGGTGACCCGTGAGCTAAAATATAAAGTTTAATGACGCTTCAAACTCAAACACTTCACGGTCAACACCAAGTTCAATTATTAAGCTAAAAAAAATTGGTTTGAAACAGCGTTAACTATGCAATGCGTTTAATTAGAAAATTACGTGTGCATTCCTAACTTGGAATATTCTTCAACAATTATTTTCTGATCTTCCAGACTTTTTTTTACTTTTTCCAATTCTTTGTTGAAACTAAATTTTTTTTCTTCAATTTCTTTTTTCAATTTTTCAGAATGTTTCATCAATATAACTTTGAGTTCTTCTTCTTTATTTTGAACACTGTTTTCTATATTTTCAATGTTTGTGTTAAATCTGTCGGTTACCTAAAATAATAAAATTTGAATTGAACTTTTTTATATAAATTAAAAAATAATTATACCTCTTCGATTTCATGCAAACTTTTTTTAATGTATTCCAACTCATTTGATAAGTCCTGCGTTTCAGTTTGAATTAATTCTTTTAATTCTATACTTGCCTCCAAAATGCCGCATCCTGAATGGCCGGAGTGATCGGATGTAGAAAAACAGAGACGGCACGTTGTTGTATTGCATATTTTGCAATAAATGTCAATAATTTCTGAGCTATGTGTTTTGCAGTATACTTCATCTAAGCGATGCACGAGTTCTTCGTCGGAGCCTATGGTTAAAAGTCTGTGGGAAAAATTCATCTACTTTTAATTTTTACGCAACTCTGACCATTTACAATTTTATTATTGTTTTAAATTACAAAATAACATTTGTAAAACAGCACACGATGCACAATATATCTGTAAGTAGGCCCAATTTGTTTTTCATATGAGCAAGGCGCATGAGAATCTGAGTCATGAATTGACACCTAAACCAGGCAGTGGCGGATCCAGACAACTTTGACTGTGGGGGGCCAAAATTTTGTAAATGTTTAAAAATTTATATTTTTTTTCAAATTTGGACAGGAGGCCAAGATTTGTGGTAGCATGGTCAAAATTAGGCTGGCGACCTTTTTTTTATATAAAATGGTGTATTTTTTATGCAAAAGCTGAGTTCTTTTAATAAATATACTGCTCACAACTGGGTGATGGTTAGAAATATTGAAAAATGTAATAACAAAATTTTCTTAGATAGAAGAAAACCTTCTTAGAAACTTATTTAATCACATTCCAACAATTTCACGTCAGCTAAATATAAAATCTGTAAAATTGGTGATATTCTAATTTGATTTCTTTGTAACCAAATCGATAATATAATAGACGTCAATGGGAAAAGATGACAGAACGTCTTTCAATTACATATAAAAAAATGTCCAACGCGCTGCAGTGCATGAAAAGATGCAGTGAACGCAATCCAAGAACAATTTGATGAATTTCAACAGCTGTTAGAAGATCTGTATAAAAATGGTACTCACACAAGTAGCACACTCAAAATAGTGCATATAGTTTGTTTCAGTGACGGATCTAGATAACTTTGACGGAGGGTCCAAAATTTTGAAAATGTTTAAATGTTAAAATTTTTTTCAAATTTGGACAGAGGGCCAAGAATTGTGGTAGCGTGGCCAAAATTAGGCTGGCGACTTTTTTTAGATATAAAATAGCGTTTTTTATGCAAAAGCTGAGTTCTTTTAATAAATATACTGCTCACAACTGGGTGATGGTCTCTCCGGCCTTTACCCAAGATACGCCACTAAGTGTATATGTATAATACATATACATTCAGTGGCGGTATACATTTACATTTAGTGGCGGATCTTGCACATTCAGTACTGTATTTTAATAGCGCTCTGAAATTCCCCTGATTGTTATCAGATATGAAATCTAATGCACCGTCATCCCGGTGTCCACGCAAAGCAAAACTTTCTTCCACAAAGTTTAATAGTTTCAATAATAGTGTTTAAATTTTAAAACGATCTCAAATGCAAACTGATTTTATGAAATACAAAAAAATAATATAAGACGCGCCAAATCGTAAATGGAATAAAATGTGAACTGCGAACAAAACATAAAATTATGAAAAGTCTAAATAAGTAAAGACTATAATTTTTTTGATTTACTTTTTGTTGATATTAGTTTTCAATAAAAGAAATATACTGAGAAAATATGATTTATTTTTATTTTGTGCCGCAAAACACTATTTAAGTTTAAAATATGAATTATATTCTTAAATAAACTTGTATCAAATTTATATAATAAATCAGCGTTATTTTTTATTGTTAAAAAGAGTCGATCTCAAATTTTTCTTTATTATTTAACGCTGTCTTGAAATGAACTGATGATAACGGGGGAGCCATGGCCCACCCCGGCCCTCCCCCCTAAATACGCCACTGTAACCAGGTGAGCAAACGACAAAGGAACAATGTTTGAAAAAGCTTGCCAATCAAAATAAATGACATATCTTTTAAAAAAATTATTGTTTTCAGAATTGTTGTTCTCTGAACAAGATCGTAACGGTCCGCTTAGACGGTAGAAGTGCCATGTGCGTAGACCATTTTTGAATGATGCGGTGCATGTATGTACGCTGTGCATTGTATAGGTTATTATGACACGAAAAAAGCTTCTTTAGAGTTTTGAAATAAAGAACAAAAAATATGAACAAACATGACCAACATTTCCTACGCATTGCATTTATCACAACTTGCATTTTCTGGTGAAATTTCATCCAGCTAACATGAATTCTGAAGTTTGAAGTTATTACACGGATTTCTTTTTTTTAATTTTATTATGCATTCTTCATTTTGTTTATTATATTATCAAGTTTTTACATTTATTTATTATATTGTTTATTATATTGTTTGTTTTGTTAACTACTGATGTTGGATAAGAAATGTTTTAATGATAGTGCAAAGATTACGACGAGTTAAAAATAATTTTAAATAAGAGCAATAACCAAATGTTGAAATAAAGACCTAATTATAACAGATATCAAAAATCAATAAAAGATCACTCCAACGAAAATTTGCGCAGTGTGCGAAAATTTTATAAAACCTTTTTTTATACTATAAGATTTTTAAAAATTTGAAAACTTAATTTTTGAACTTAAAAGGAGTTTTGAAAAATCTATACCAAAAAAAAATTACTTGTGACTGCTTGTAGTGTTCAGCAAACGGTGATATTCAACACATCTGTGACACAAATGTTGCTTGCAGTCGGAGCAAAATTTAACTGCGAACGCATCAGATTTAGTTCCCCCACAAAAATTTATTCCTTTGCAAATTTGGCAAACTACGTTGGAATGCTTTTCCTTTTTATCTAAATGAATAAATAATTATGTTAAACGTCATATTAAAGCAAAAAATTATAACGTTATATATTTATATACAAATTGAAAAATATAATAAACAGTTAAAATTATACTGTATTTTCATCTGACTTGAAATATAAAATCTAAAAAAAACAAACCAGACGGATCGTGAACTTTAATAAGTTTCTCCAAAAAAATATTTCGTGGCAACTGGGGCAAACCACCTGGCTGAATGCTTATCTTCTTATGACATGTTGGACACTGAAAATCCAGCAATCTGCTATTCTTGTTGTTTGAATGAGCACCACCAAAACTGTGATTGACAAAATTTGATGTTTTCAGTAAAATTGACTCAAACAAAGAGTTGTTATTGCTGAAATCTGTTACGAATTCATTATTTTGATAGTCGATGTTGGTGTAATCTTCTAGACAGTCATAACAGAATGTATGCAAGCAAGGTAATTGTCTCGGATCATTTAATTGGCCGTTACATATGGAGCATCTCGTATATTCATATATTGAGTCACCATCAAAGTTGAATACTGGTAGTTGAATGGACATGATAAATTTGCTATTTCATAAAAAATTCTTTAAAAATTAGCAGTTTCATCATAAAGAAAATGCGCTTACGTAAAAGGTTAACATCGAAAGATTTAAATAGATTTTTCAATATCGCTGCTTACTTTGAAATATTTTCAACAAATCCGTATCTATTCTACGTAACTAAGCTACGTACATAGCTTTCAAAATATCGATCGCGTAAAACGCTTTCAAAGCTCATGTTAGATTTTATGAAATATAGATAATATTAAAGTATTTACATTTTGGAATTTAATAAATGCAGAAATATATAATATTAGTGTAAAATAATTTTGTGGCTAAATAATAAATTATTTAATATTTAAGCAACGTATTTTTTAAACTGCGTCTCAAACTCTTAAATATGTTAATTATTTATAGCGATCGATAATTTTCATCTGTTCCCGCAACCTGTTCAACTTGCTTATGTTTAGTTTTACTCATACTGCATATGCTTCTTCATACAAATCTTGCTACTAAGAAACAAATTTTAGAACACCAAAAAGAGTAACATATCAGTTAAATATAATTTAATGTTATCAAATAATGTGACAGGGCCCATCAGCAAGCAAGGTGAATTGATACCTCAAGGCAAATTGAAATAAGAAAAAAAAGTTAAAAAAACTCAAAAATAATGACCAGACTAAGTTTTATTTCGATAGAAATAGTGATAGTGATGATAAAATGTAAACCAAACATATATTTAAAATATACACTGAAAAATATTTGAATAATCTCAATTAAATATAAAAGTATCAATACTATAAAAAAAAGGTTAAAATTTGACTTTATTTTAAAGTATGAATTTGCGGATATTATCTACAATAAATAATAATAAATCTTAATTATGTATATCAGGAAAAATGTATTTAAAATCAGTTTTTCTTACATGTGAATAGGTTTTAAAAGAATCGCACTTTTTTAAGTTTCACACCGTAAAATCGCTTCTATTGATGGTTATTTACAATTTAATTAATTAAATTTTTTGAGTATATCTTTAACGTCAGATAAACCGTAAAAATGGTTAAAAAAATTAACATGAATATTTTACGTCAAATTTTATTACAAAATTTTTAAATCAAAATAAAATTACCGGTGAGTATTAGAACGCCTTCTATAATTTCGAATTTTTATCGGAAGTTATGTAACTTCCGATCAAGAACTTCCAGAGATTTTTTTATGGGACATTGCGCATTCTTCCCATAATATAATTTTTGCTTATTTGAAGCATTTGAGCCATTGCGGAATTATTTTTTTGATTTAATTTATCTATGATTTAAATTTAACGGAAGTTTTAATGTTTAATGTGCAGTTCTTCCTCCATTGAGCGACGTTGTCGCTTTTCCCGATGATGCAATGCAACTCCAATATAATTTTTCAACTGAATACAAGCCTAGAAAGGTTTAGCCGGTGCCGTCTGGAGCGTCCAAGAAACTTATTCCACCTTTTTCATTTTCCACGGGATTCATCACATGGTCGTAGAGGTATGCCTCTTTTTGATCAGCTATTTGGAGTTATCATTGATTATTATAAACTTAACTTTAAAAATCATGTTTAAACTGTAATTAGTAAATAAAAATGTTAGGTTAGGAATTATTTACCGAATCAATTTATTATTATACCCCAACTTCAAAAACTTTTTTTTGCTCTATAGTCATTTACTTTACTGTAACTCAATTTGGGTCGTGTCAACATAACGAATTTACAATTCTTTTAAATTTGAACCAATATGTTTTAATAAATTTAAACTCTCTCTTATAATTCCTTCTATTGATATCTTGCTTGATTTTAAAACTCTTTACTTTTCTCATAAGTTTCGTAGTCTAGGCTTCATTTTTAATTCTAATAATAATGTTAACTCTATCTTTTCAGATCAAAGTGTCGCTGAAAGTTTCTACATTCATCTACGTATAATAAAAATCTTTTACCTTTCCTTGATGATCCTAGTGTTTTCTTACTTGCTACTTTTTTAGTTTTATCTAGGATTGATAATTGTAACTCGCTCTACAATTTTCTTTCTGATTCTACACTTTATTTGTTAATTAAAGCGGCTAACTCTACAGCTCGTTTAGTTGCTCATGTTTAGTTTATCTCCATGTCTTGTTTACTTGCACTGGCTACCTGTAAAATATATATTTTTTTACAATTTGCACGTTTATATCTAAATTATTTCTTGTGTACTTATCAGATTACTTATTAGTAGATATATTAATTAAAAGTAAACGCATTGATCACGATTGTCTTCTGTTCTCACTCTTTCTCTTCATATATTTTTTTATATACTATCATATACAAACATACACATGAAAACAAAAATACAATAAAATTTTTATATGTTAAATAAAATGAATGTTAACACATTTTGAAAAACAAATTTTTAAATTTATGTGCTTGATGTTGGTTAAGGGCATCTATATAATATACCTGGATTGTCAACATGTTTTAGTAAAGGACCAGCGGAGGTGATCGCTGTACAATGTGCATGTGCAGTGTATATGTGACAGCCCTACTGACATATGACAATATGGAATATTCATCCATATTTAGTCCATTAATTTTAATACATTCAGACACTTCATTGGCAATCTCATTCAAATTATCAAAACTGTTTTCATCAAAATTCAGGACAAAATTTTCAACATCTTTTAAATAAAATTTGGAATGCTTAAGTAATGATAATGCAAGAATTTTTCTATTAATTGCACTGTTTGAAAGATATGTATTAGTTTTTGCCAGCCATCCGCCTCATCCAACCAAACCTTGATTCGATAATATCAGACAGCAAATTTTCAGTAAGAACATAGTTAAATTGTAACTCACTCAATGAATAAATATTTAATTAAATTAATAATTTAATTTGTGATTTGTCTGAGTGCTAAAAATGTTTTTTTCTGTTTTTCAGCTAGTTGAAAATCTGTAATCAATTGAAGGAGACTCCCAAATTACCAACATGCATGTAGCTTCATGGTAAATCGTTTGTGTGGCTCTTTATCAAACGCCTTCGCAAAATACAAATAGATTATATTTACGGAGTTTTCACTGTCTACGTTTGCATACACTCCCTTAAAAAAATTCAAAAGATTTTACAGACAGAAACGTCCTTTTATAAATCCGCGTTGGCTGTTTTCGATTATTTTGTTATTCTCAGATATTCAACCATGTTCATTTTTATTATTTTTTCAAAAACTTTGCATAGTATATCTGTTAAACTGACTGGTTTATAGTTACTGATAACACTTCTGCTTCCTTTTTTGAATAGTGGCGTGACAATGGCATCTGTCCAGTTTATTGGTATTTTATCAGTCTTAATGGATTCTGTAAATATTTCAGTAAGAGTGGCTCTTATTTTGATTCTATGTTCAACTTACTTTTTCTAATTTATGAAAAGCAGAATAATATTTCTAAATAATTTTTTTTCAATTCTATAATTTAACATGCACAAAATTATCAATAAAATTTTAGCGATAAAACGATTACGCAACAACACGAGTACATGGCATGAAAATAAACTTCAAAACAAGGACACAATGAAAGTTAACTTCACTGCATGACACAATAAATTATATCACCTCCAAGGATCCGTTTTCAGAAAATTTTCATTTCAGTGGACCGTCCGGGTTTATTATTTAGATGTATATGATGTTGGTGCCTGGAAATTTAAAAGTAATTAGAATACTCAAGATAGTAACATCAATCAGATAGACCAAGCGATGCAATCGTAATTCCTTTTGCTTCAAATCAATTAGCATATATAAAATACATTCATTAAGTAACATACACTTACATACTTGTTCACATGTGTATATTTATACATATACATATTTGCGTGTCCGTGTATACAAATATACGCAAAACATAGACACGTACATTAGATATTAAAACTTAAATAACAAATTTGAAAAAATGGCCGAAATCTGTAAATAAAATATTAGTTCATTAAAATTTTTGTAAGTTACTTGCATGTTGTACTTATAATTTTTCAAGTACAAGTTCAAGTACATTGTAAAATAGCAATTACCAGTACGAGCCCTAGTACTTAGGTGTCAAGTACAAGTACTTAATATTGGTACAAGTACTTAATATTGGTACAAGTACTTAATATTGGTACAAGTACCTAATATTGGTACAAAGTACAAGTACCACATCACTGATAAGCACGAATAATGAGATTGTTTAGATTTAGCGGTATTGGAGATCCTTTATGGGCGGAAGGTTTGTTCTTTGATGTAGCTTTTAATTTTGCCTTTTCTTGATGATCCTACCTACTCTTCTCCACGAAGGTAATGTTCGCGACGGTTTTAACTCAGCGACGATTGAGCATATGTAAAAGGCGGATTATGAAAAAACAGATTAAATAATAAATATTTAAAGGTTTAATAAAATGAAAAAAGATTTATTATTGATTTTTATTTGTTATTTATAACATTTTAATTTTATTCAGATTAAAAATTGCATAAAACAATAAAAAAACTTCATCATAAAATCGCTATATATTAATATACCAACGATAAGGAGAAAGTTAAAAAATCGCCAAAAATTTATTTATGTGTGCATCTGAAAAATATTTGCATCTTCTAATAGACAATTTTATTCCCAAAAATACCATATATAACAAAACTTTCTCCTGTTTTGTGCACATTCTCAAAAATTCGATTGAACGCGTTAACCCTACATTTCCAAATTTGCGTCTTCGGTAACGAGAAAGTTAAAAAATCGCCAAAAATCCATTTATGCGTGCATCTGGAAAAAATTTGCATCTTCTAATAGACAATTTCATTTCCAAAAATACCATATATAACAAAACTTTCTCCCGTTTTGTGCACATTCTCAAAAATTCGATTGAACGCGTTAACCCTACATTTCCAAATTTGCGTCATCGGTAACGAGAAAGTTAAAAAATCGCCAAAAATCCATTTATGTGTGCATCTGGAAAAAATTTGCATCTTCTAATAGACAATTTATTCCCAAAAATACCATATATAACAAAACTTTCTCCCGTTTTGTGCACATTCTCAAAAATTTGATTGAACGCGTTACCCATATTTCCAAATTTGCTCCATCGATAATGAGAAAGTTAAAAAATCGCCAAAAATCTATTTATGTGTGCATCTCAAAGATATTTGAATATTCTAATAGAGAATTTCCTCTTCTAAAATATCATATAAAAGAAAACTTTCTCCCGTTTCGTGCACATCCCCAAATATTGGTCTGAACGCGTTACCCATACATTTCTATATTTGCGTCACCGGTAACCTTGGTATACCTCTTCTTCAACTGCACTATTTAATAGATGCACCGTTCAGTTGGTTTACATCCTGCAACTAACCTCTTTTCTTTCTAAGGCATTGTTGTTGCATGTTATTATGCTCTGTAGGTTTTGTAAAGATTCATCGTTGCCTTTGGGACCATTTTCAGTTAACCCTAAAAAGCATTTATTCTTCCGCAATGAGCCAATCTGTAAATTTCAATTTTTTATTGTTATCACAGGTTTTTTACATTTTCGGTTGGTGAAATTATTTTTCTGCTTTAGGCTCCTGCAAGCTTGGCCAAACTAATCCTGTTCATTCAAACTAGACTGTAATTTAATAAAAATGTTATTTCGTTTAATGAATAATATGCATTGCACAGTAATTGAACTATAGTTCTTTAACTCGTGAACATTTAAATTTACAAAAAAAACAAAAATATGTTTTTTATTTTAGCTAAAAATTAACAAATACTAATGCAATTGCAGCAAAAAGTGAAATTTAAACATTTTAAATTGAAAAAAGTTTGTGATGACCATGTAGATGACTATAATTGTGAATAGTAAAGATTGACAAGCGTATAAATTTTAACTATATATACGAGGTAAAATATAATAAACTGTAGTGTTTTTGCGACAAATTTATATAGCATATTTATAAAATATAAGTTTTAGCTTTAATTTAAATGTATGAAAACACAAAAAAATATATAATAATACGTTATAATAATAAAAAAAACGTATAGCACCAAAAAAGTGCAAACCCAAGCGATTGAATAAATAAATATGTATATATATATACTTACCAAGTATTACTTGCCCACGGATTATGATAGCTATATATATGTGCAGTACCGCCGAGAGGGGGGGGGCAAATGCCCAGGGGCCCAGCGATATTTAGGGGCCCAGCGATATTTAGGGGCCCGGCGATATTGAAGAGCCCGGCGATTTTTAAGGGTCTGTCGATTTGCATGGGCCCGAGCTGTTCTCGTCAATCAATTCATGAAAATATTTTCACGGCAATAAAATGGATATTATTGTCTAGTTTTTTTAAACTGAACTTCAATCAAAATTACAATCAAATTAAACCTCAAATATCTGTAGGTTGCAGTGTTTGGTTTTATTTTATTTTGTATCCGTTCGAGTATTAAGTAACACAAAAACGGCTTTTTTCTCTCTCAGTAACACTTTCTTACGTAACAACAATATTTTCTGCAATAAAATCATAATCTGTACAAACCCTTTCTATTAATCAATCAATCAATCAATTATTTATATTTATATAGCGCAGTTTATTATAAACTGTTTATAAAATTAAAATGAAAATGTGAAATAACACAGTATAATTTTTTCCATAAATCTGCACTGAAATATACGAAATACGTGTTTTCCATGAAAAAATAAAATTTTTGATAAATTTAAAAAGAAATTATTTTTTTTTACATAAAAAATATTTTACGTAATAAATTTCAAAACCCCTCCTCCCCTATTATAACACTTCATAAGGAAATCTTAGTTAGATCCCCTTCTTACGGATCGCTACATAATAGTGAACGGCCCCTATATTTGATATGACATTTTCAATATTTTTTATATTGTAGACGCATAATAAAACTCCTCACTGATCTCAGCACTATCATATGCTGAAATAAATAAATTGAACGACCAACGACTCACACAACTAGAGAATAATTAACTTACGCCAAACCATTGAATTAAAATTCCTATATGTAATTCAATGGTCGCGCGCTACAATTAAATTAGCTTAATTTAGTTTTCAAAATTTTAAGCCTACATAATGTACTACATAACTTTATGTATTACAACATAATTATGATTTTCTAATATTATCTTGCTGAAGATATATATCATTTATATTCATTATTTATAATCTATGATCTTTACTTACCAATTTTTGAACACGCCCACATCAGGCCACTTCTGTTTGAAAAATTTTTGCGCGAAAATTGTAGTGTTTAAACTGCTTTTAAAATAAACAATCATAAAATATTAATAAATTAATATTGTTTAATTAATTATGGAATACAAACATAAATCGGGCTCACAAAAGCGGAAGGAAAAAGCTACTGCTTTGGAAAACGACAAAATCGGTAGTCGTTCGTTATTTCAATTCGGAATCATTAAAGAAAAAAACAAAACAAAGACAGCCGTAAATTTTCCTACTTCGGCTGAGTCTCCTGACTGTCCGGTAGGGCTAGAATTTTCAGAATCGCACCGATTGGATGAAAATGGAAATAGCGATATCCAAACTCAAAATAATGACAGTGTAAATATAATAAAAGATAATGATGCCTCTGTAAACATAGAAACTGTTGAAAGATTTGGATTTGACGTTGGTACTTTGCCAGCCGGGCCAATACCCACACAGACTATAGAAACCGTGATTCGAAACGGTCCACCTAGACACCCGGACAATTTTCTGGGAGATGGACAAAGAGCTTTTCCGACGTGCATTTTAAAGGTGTCCAGACAAAATGGAGGTGTTTGTGAAAGGGATTGGTTGGTATGGAGTAAAGAAAAAGAATCCCTGTTTTGTTTCCCATGTAGATTATTTAGTGAAATTGCCGTATCTTGCAGATCAATTTTGTCAAGTGATCAAGGATGGTCAAAACTAAAAACATGGCGTAAAGTGTACGATAAAATACCAGCTCATGAAAAAAGTGACGGTCATAAATATGTTATATAAAGTGGCGCGATTCAGAAAGAAGATTTCTTTTTGGAAAGAATATAGTCTCAGATTGATAAAGAAATTGCTACAAAAGTAAAATACTGGAAAGACTTGCTTAAACGAATTTTAGCAGTGGTTTTATTTTTGGGTGAAAGAGGACTTGCATTCAGAGGTTCTTCCAACAAAATTGATGACCATGATAATGGAAATTTCCTTGGGATTATAGAACTGTTAGCTCAGTTTGATCCGTTTTTACAAGAGCATGTTTCTAAAGTTCAAAAATCTCAAAAACTTGGACAACGCCTTCAGGTTCATTACTTATCAGCAGATTCTCAAAATGACTTTATCGAAGCATGCAGCTCAAAAGTTATTCAAGAAATTTTGGCAGAGAGAGAAAGGTCTAAGTATTTTTCAATTATGGTAGATGCTACACCAGATTGTTCTCATACAGAACAAAGTACTTTCATTCTGAGATATGTACAAAACTGCAACTCAACATTTTCGGTCAAAGAACGTTTTCTTGCATTTGTTGATTATAACAAAAAAACTGGCCAGGATGTTGCAGATATGATCAAATATGAACTGGAGAAAAACAAAATTTCTCTGGATGACTGTCGAGGTCAGGGATACGACAACGGCTCAAATATGACAGGAAAGTTCAAAGGAGCACAAGCAATCATTGCACATGCATATCCTCTAGCGAAATTTTCAAATTGTGGCGCCCATAGTTTAAATTTTTGCGGTGTGCATGCAGCAGAATGTTGCAATGACGTTATAACTTTTTTTGGAATAGTTCAAAAGTTGTACAATTTCTTTGCGTACAGTCCTCAACGATGGGAAATTCTACAGAGATTAACTGGATGCTCACTGCATAATCTTTCTCAAACTAGATGGTCGGCACGTGTGGAAAGTGTGAAACCGATTGCGAAGCACCTGCCAATTATCAAATGTAAAGAATTAAATTTGTCATCAGAAAGTAAGACTGAATTGCAAGGAATTGAGCGTTATATAGAATCATTCAAGTGTGTTTTAATGGCTACAATATGGCTCAAAGTTTTAGTTGCTATAAACAATCGAAACAAAATTATTCAAGCCAAAGAAGCCACATTGGATGTAGAAGTAGAAAACATCGACATTCTTCTTGGGGAACTGAAGGATCTACGTGAAAAATGGGACTTATTGCTAGCAGAAGCCAAAATAACAGCAGAAACTATGTCGTCGGATATTTCATGTGAAACAGAACTTCCAGAAAAACGCCAAAAACGACGAAAACGTTTTTATGATGAAAATCAACATATGCCAGAAGAAAGTGCACAACATGAAGTGGATGATGATTTTAAAGTGAACGTTTTCTATAAACTTATCGATAGTATAATATCTGGTTTAACAGAGCGTTTCCATATGGCTAGAAATATTAACAATTCTTTCAATGTTTTGTGGTTATTTACAGAACTTGGAGAAAGTGATCTGGAAAAGAAATGTTCTAATTTCTGCAAAGAATATGACAAAGATGTCAGCAGTGACTTAATTAATGAAGTGAAATGTCTAAAATCAATTTATTCGGATACCATACAGAGTGAAAATCTTCATCCCATAAAACTGCTGAATAAAATTTATCAGTTGAAATTGGAATCTATATTTCCAAATATTGCTATTGCCTTACGAATCTTTTGTACAATTCCTGTAACTGTAGCAGAAGCTGAAAGGACATTCAGCAAACTGAAGCAAATAAATAGTGTGTAGCGGTCAACTATGAAACAAGAACGATTGAACGGTCTTGCGACTTTGGCGATTGAACATGATTTGGCAAAGTTATTGAATTTTGATGACGTTATTAACAATTTTGCCTTAGCCAAATCAAGGAGAGTTTGTTTCTAAAACAATAAATACCGATTTGTTACATTTGGATATTTAATTTAAAAAGTAAACTTTAATGTTTTTTTTTCAAATAAAAACTGAATAAAACTATACTTTGTTTTTGTTGGCTATATTGGTCAATCTTAAATTATAAATATTAAGGTACAAGTAGTATACGTATATGATATGCGAATTTTTTTGAATGTCATGTAACCTAAAATAAGATACTTTAGAGGTTTATCTTCCACGGTCATCGGGGGGCCCGTCACAGTCCAGCCTAGGAGCCCGAAATTTCTGTCGGCGGGCCTGTATATGTGTGTGTGTGTGGTGTGTTTTGAAAATCATAATGTTATGTGTATGAATTGGTAATTGCACGCTACAGGTATCAATATTGCTAACAGATATAGTTATCGTAACATTTATTTTTGCGGCTTCGTACAATTTTTAGTTATAAAAAAACCTTGAGTAACTTTTCTCTGCCTATACCTTTCGCTATTTCTTGTTCCAAATTAACAGTAAAAATTTGTCGATTACGCTGAACTTTTAACAATGAACTAATGCCTCCATTTGACTAATTTTGATTTGACGCAGAATCATAAAAATAAAACTATTGACGAACAACGTCCTGGATTGAACGTCCTGTTTTACTTGCATCTTCCAATAGACAATTTTATTTCCCAATTTTGGTTCATTATTTTTTTAATATAATAACAGTTTTGTTTAATTTTTAATCATTAATATTAAATACCAGGCAATGATTTGACGACTGAAACTCCGGAACTCGTGGCCACGAGATATGAATCCTTACTCAGACTGTTAGAAAACAAAATCAGACCGCGCCGAATAATCATATTAAGCCTGGTTTGTAGAAAAGACGTTCAGAAATGGAAAGTTGATAAACTAAATGTCTCATTGAAACAATTCCAGTCTAACATTGTTCATTTCTGGAAGCTTGACAGAGTGGGAGGAGTTAATAATATAGGACCTGACGGCATCCACCTGAATGAACGTGGAATGATGAACTTTATGAGAAACATCATTTATTCTCTAAAGTGCACGAAATAAATTTTTAACATTTTTATTTGTAATAAAAAGTTTATAAAAAAAAGTATGCATTGTTGTTTAATATATCTTTGTATATATATATATATATATATATATATATATATATATATATATATATATATATATATTATATATGTACCTATATATCCATTTTTTTATATAAATGTGTTTGTGTGTGTGATATGACTTAATTACTCGTTTATTAAAACATTTATAACTTTTTTTATTTAACGTTAAAAAAAATTGCGGTTTCAAAATGTAACAAACAAATGTCATAAACAAACCCCAATATCGAAGTTGATTGATACACAGGTTGGGGTTGAATGTTATTAGCATCAAATATCATTACAACGAAAAAGAAGGTTATTAAATATTCACCATAAAGGTTAAAGCTTTCTCTCTCTCTTTTGCGTTTGCTTCAGAGGTTTCAACGACAAACACACAGAGGAGCGTATATGAATACGCGTGCAAACCACGCATCATACACATTGCATATGATAGGCGGGGATCTCTTTGTATTTGAACCCAGTCAATGCAATAGCAAGACCAGGCGCCTTTAACCATTGAGCCACAAATGAATACTTGATTTTGTCGTTTTCGTTTTCAGGTTTAACTGATTTGAAATAACAGGCCTACTCTTTCGCTATTTCCTGTTCCAAAATAACACTAAAAATTTGTCGATTACGTTGAGCTGTTAACAATGGACTAATGCCTCCATTTGAAAAATTCTGATGTGACGCAGCATCAGAAATATAAAACTATTGACGAGCAACGTCCTGGATTGGACGTGCTGTTTCACTGACGGTATTTACTGCCGAAACATAAACATCTGGATCTACGCTAATCCGGTCCGTTTTGTGATGTAATTTTTATGTCACCTTGGGCCAAAAAACAATGAAGGAAGTTGAGTCATCAACTACCCCTACGTGTGAAATTAAAACAATTTATATTAGTATAAACGTAATTCTTTTTAGAGAAGCCAACAAAAAACGGGGATCTGGTACAAAAATTTGTAGCAGATAACTCGTTTAAAAAAGAAAAGAATGCCACGAATTAAAACACGAGAATTAAAACATGAGCATTTCTTTCGAAAGTAACACTAGAGTTTAAACATGCAGCATAATTTTAAAAGTATTTTTCTTAATTTTATTCCGTTTCCAATCATAATCTAAAAAACATCTAAAATTTAAAAAAGTCCAAAAAGTACAATCACGGTATTCTATTCTGGTATTGCCATTTTGTGTTAATCAAATTATAAACTATACTACAAGCAAGAGCAGGAATGACGTTGTAACACATCAGATACAGGAAACTTCAAAACTGTGGTGCACTTAGGTTGTCTGCGAGATAATAACAAGGACCAAAAACTTCCATAATTAAGTCCAATACTTCTTTGCAGTTCCTGTTTAATTCACCGAGTTCATTAAAATTAATTTATAAATCAAAGTATAACACAATTTTAAAATATTCGATAATATACTGTACAAATTTTAAATTGTATTATAATGTCAACAAAATAATGTATAGAATCTTATACTATGCAACTGCGTCTCGAACCGTTATTTTCGTTACCAATCGACAGAGATTTAGTAATAATAACGGTAAAAAATCTCGTTTCCTTTAATAACAATACCAGAGATCTCCTATCGTTATTTAAACAAGACATTTTTAGGAAAGTCTATCATATCGAAATAAAAAATAAAAGACACAATATTCGTCTCGTACCATTATTTCAATGTGTGGAAATGGTAAAAGTGCACATTGTAAAAAAAAGTGTTATAAAATATTAAAACTTATTTAATTTTTTCAAATGGAATGACTTTGGTTTAATAAAGACTAAAAATATCGTATTGTTATTAAAACGAGACATTCTCCAAAAAGTCTCGTATCAAATAAAAAATACGAACAAGACAAACTTTTGTTTAATTTTTCAATTGAATGGCTGTTTTCTGGGCGAAATGAATGGGCGGCGTGATGGTCTAATGGTTAAGGTCGCCTGGTGCTGTTTCGCAGTAACCGGGTTCGAATGTGACAAAAATATCCCCGCGTATCACATGCTTCATGTGTAATGCGCCGTTTAGCACGATGTTCATTTACGATGTTTTGCGCTCTGTTGAATCCTCTGAACGTTGGAAGAGTGTAATTAACCTTTAACTTTTATCTGTTTTAATACAGTACATTTTGTAAAGCGGAGTTGGCGGGAAAACAACTAAGGGCAGACTGTAAATGTGCCAAGCGTCATTGTTATTGCGCGATGTTCAAATACTATCTTTCAAAAACTCAAAAATCATACAACTTGTGCACATGATTTTATTATATCAATATATAGTCTTAAATACCTCGTTATCGTATTGTTATCGTATCGTTATGTATCGTTTTCAAAATAATAACGAGACGCAGATTCTTATGTAACAAAATTAATTTTTAATAATTCCGTGTATTTTCATTAAACGAAAATTTATTAGATCAAACTGTTCAGCCGATTTGACATGATTGAATCCGCCTGTTAGATACGCTTCATCGTAGCCGAAATCGTATCGTTTCCAAAAATTAACGAGACGCAGATGCTTATATAATAAAATAAAATTTTTAATTATTCCGTGTAATATTATCAAACGAAAATATATTAGTTCAAACTGTTCAGCCAATTTGACAATATTGGTTCCGCCTGTTAGATACACCAAAACCGTCGCGAACATTACCTTCGTTTCTTCTCCTTGTTTCTTCGTTAGTGGGTTAAACTTATCCTTATCTAGAATTGATTATTGTAACTCGCTCTTCGGTAATAGTATTTAGTTAATTGTAAGTGATGGATAAGAAAAAAAAAGCCGAAAGACCCAGTTTCAGAACCGAAGGGTACGGACAATAACGAATTAGGATTAATAAACACTAAACTAAAGCTTTGTGAAGAGTGCATGCGATGCAACAAGGAAAGACTGCAAATTTTGGTTGCAAAAGAGAAGTCTGCCAGTGTGGATTTTGGACCACCAATGGAAGTTTTAAAATATGAATTGCGGAACACAACTCATTCTATGATGTCAAGAATGGAGATTCTTGAAAAAGCCATAAATGCTCAAAATGAAGAATGAACATCTTTGAGAAAGAGAATGGAAGATATCTCCGTGGCTTCTTTAAAACAGTTAGAAGATAATGCGAGAATCACTAAAACAACCGTTAAGAAAATGAACAGGTTTTAATGAAATATTTTGACGTTGTAAAACAGAAGGTCAACATTCTTATATCTGATGTTAAATTGATGCAAAAATCTATTTTAGATACAAATACCAAATTGGATATTAACTATGAAGGAGAGAAAAGAAAGAACTATGTAATTTTATACAATCTTGATGAAAAGTTGTTGGAGGAAATTGCTGACATAGATCTTGAGTCAGAAGTAGTTGAAGTATCCAGGTGAGTAGAAAGTCAGAGGAGGCCAAACCAAGACCAGTTCTAGTGCAACTAGCATGTTCAACTGCCAAGAATTTGTAGCTCGCATATTGCTAGAGTTTAATTCCTGTTCATTGTTGTTACGTACGTAGCTTCATCACAAAATCAAAGACTAAGTATCCCAAGAATGGGCATGTATATAATTTGCCAGAATAATAATGTATGTTTCTACTATTTACGATACTATTTACAATAAACACGGCCACTTTATTTACAATGGCAAAATTAATGCTCATTTTATATGGGTATTTTTTTAAAACGTACGTATTGAAAAAATGAATTTCATATTATGTTATTAGTTGAACAAAAAAATATCTTTCCAACTAAACTATAATGCTTATCTAATGCTAAAGCCTAATATAATAATAACCTTCTAAAACTTCTAACATAAAGCTATAGTAAGAATGTTTTTATAATACATCAAGAATCTAGAAAAACTTTAATTTTTAGGAATGCTATGGTGATTAAAACCTTCCTTTATCTAGCATGTGGTCTATTGTTTATCTATTTGCGTTCAAAGGTTGATTGTCACATTTGTCACCACGAAGTTCCCCATGTTAGTCACTTTGTATGTTCTTCCTGTACCATGTTTTCTGTAATATTACTATGTTTTTTCAATTATTTTCTTATGAATTTTTTATAAATAACAATTTTTATGCCTAACTTGATAAAACTTGGCTTCAACCTCAAAGATTACTGTTATAAATTTTCATATGTATTATGTTCTTAATACATATGTACATTGTACATATTAACTTATTTGTGTAAAATCATCTTTTTTGCATTTAATTATCTTCCAGATTTCTACGTTTTGCTATCCAAGTCATGTTTTACATGTATACTTTTGTATATATTTTTAACATTTTTCATTGATAATGTTATGTAAAGATTTTCACAAAGCGCCATGCCTTTGTGCGCTTCTTAAGAATGTCTTAATTTTAATTGCTTTTTGACCGTCTCAACTTGAGCCGTCACTTGATGAATAATATGATGTAAAGTGAAAAACGTCTATTCTTTATTTTTTATTGGCTATCTCTTTTGATTTGTCAACTTTAATTTACATAATTTGGAAACAAACTTTTTAATTGTATGATTGATGAGTATTTTCTACAATTTACATGATGATAACCGTTTTGCATGAAATGAAATGAAATAAAATAAAATATTTTAAAGTGTTTTGAAAAATTAATTTATTATTTTGAATTATCCAGTTGAAAATTTGTTTGAGATCTTAAATATTTTTTTTTTTAGATTTCACATGATGTAATTGTTGAAAAAATTGGTAGTAAATCTAAAAGAATTGTGTTGGAAGGTTTCCATTTTCATTTACATTATGACAAAAGTGTCAATTCGTTGCCACAAAATAAACAAAAATTTATAAAGGTTATTTTTTATATAATTCACGCTTATTATTTTTATCATCTGTTATAATTCTGTTATCAGTTTTTATCAATTTATAGTCTATATTAAACCCTAGTAAACCATGTATGCTGTTAACTGGCTCAACTGTTCATTTATTTATAAAATATTGAAAATAAAAATGAATAATTAAATAATTAAAATTTTATTTCATGAATTTTTGAAAAGTTTGCATTTGTGTTGTTCGAAATTATTGTTCAGAATTGAATAATTTTTGTTTGTAATTGTGAAGAACTGGAAAAAACGGGACATGGGGAAAAAAACGAGAGGAAAAACGTGAGAATGAGGCTAAAAATTCAGAATGGCCCCTCTGTGGTACTTCGACTTGAAACGCTCAATGTTGGATCACTGACTGGTCGCAGCATGGAAATCGCAGAAATGCTCGAGCGTAGAAAGATTGACATCTGCTGCCTTCAGGAGACCCGATGGAAATCGAATAGTGTCTGTCATATCAGCTCAGACAAAGAGAAATATAGACTATTCTGGAATGGTCAAAAGACGGCCAAAAATGGTGTTGGAATTTTTGTCAGAGAACCGATAGCCCAAGAAGTACTGGATATTAAAAGGATTAATTCACGTCTCATGTGGATCAAGCTTCGCATAGAAAAGCAAACAATGATTATTTTTCTGCATACGCACCACAGACAGGCGAATCAGAAGAGATGAAAAATGACTTCTGGGCTGCATTCTCTGACACCATTTCAACAATACCAAAATCTAAAACAATCCTGATTGGAGGCGATCTCAATGGCCACGTTGGAGAGAAAACAGATGGTTTTGACAACGTACATGGCGGTTTTGGCTATGGAGAACGGAATGAAGATGGCAACCGCATCCTTGAGTTTGCTGAAAGTCACGGGTTTTGTTTATTGAACACATATTTTAGAAAGAGGTTGGAACATCTCATAACATACAAAAGTGGACCATCAGCCACGCAAATTATTTCTTCGCTGTCAAGCAACAACACCGAAGGCTATTCAAAAACGTCAAAGTTATACCAGGCGAATCATGTGTCGCCCAACATAGACTCCTTGTGTCAGACCTGGTTGTCGAACTCAAAACTTAAGTCAAAACAAATGCCTCGGAGAATCAAAACGTCCAAGCTGAAAGCAATATTCTTCGAGAAAAATTTCAACAGATTGTCGCCACACAGTTAGACCACCAATCGCAAGCCAGTACAGATTGGAGTACATACAAAAACGTTTTAATAAACGCTGCAACTACAGTTTGTGGGAAAACTGGTACAAAACGTCAGCATGAACGGGACACTTGGTGGAATGACAGTGTACAAAATGCAATAGCTGAAAAGAAAGCTGCATACAAGCAATGGCAAAAATCAAAGTCTGTTGATGACCATAAAATTTTTCGTGAGAAGAACAACTGTGCAAGACGTCAAGTCGCACTGGCTCGGACAGATCAGTGCAGAGAGTGGCTCACTAAAAGTAAAGGTGAACAAATGAAATCTCTGTATCGAATAGCAAAACAAGCAAAGCGTACGAAAAAAGACATAGTTGGTGCCTCATGTATCAAAAACGACAAAAATGAGATGGTTCTTGAACAAGATGAGATCAAGCTACAGTGGAGAGAATACTTCAACCGTCTGTTGAATGAAAGAAATCACATCAATGTCAACTTTGACGCTCCACCCATCGAAGGTCCGATTCCAGACATCACAGTAGAGGAGTTTACAGAAGCTCTGAAAGCTATGAAGGATGGAAAGGCAGCAGGGCCCTCTGGAATCACAAATGACATTATCAAAGCATCTAGTACTGCAGGTATCCAAACGTTACTACAACTTTGCCGTGAAGTGTGGAGAAATTGCTCGATGCCGACTAAATGGAACTATAGCATGCCGCTATACAAAGGCAAAGGTGATCCATTGAACTGTTCATCGTATCGGGGTATACGTCTGTTAGAATACTCCCTGAAAATTGTCGAGAAAATCATTGAGAGAAGATTAACGTCGTGCATCACAATCGGAAATAATCAATTTGGTTTCCTAGCGGGGAAATCAACAATTGATGCAATTCACATCCTTCGGCAACTGCAAGAGGAGTACCTCGCAAAGCATCAACAATTATCACACATTTTTGTAGAACTTGATAAAGCATTTGATCGAGTTCTCCCTGAAGCAAGGTGGAGTCTACGTCGACAACTCATTCCAAAATATCTTGTTCGACTTGTGATGGAAATGTATACAAATACTAAGACTCTCGTCAGTTGCGCTGGCTCGGACAGACCAGTGCATAGAGTGGCTCACTAAAAGCAAAGATGAACAAATGAAATCTCTGTATCGAATAGCAAAACAAGTAAAGCGTACAAAAAAGACATATTTGGTGCCTCATGTGTCAAAAATGACAAAAATGAGATGGTTCTTGAACAAGATGAGATCAAGCTACAGTGGAGAGAATACTTCAACTGTCTGTTAAACGAAGCATATCCCATCAATGTTAACTTTGACGCTCCACCCATCGAAGGTCCGATTCCAGACATCACTATAGAGGAGCTTACAGAAGCTCTGAAAGCTATGAAAGATGGAAAGGCAGCAGGACCCTCTGGACTCACAAATGACATTATCAAAGCATCTGGTACTGCAGGTGTCCAAACGTTACTACGAAAAATTGCTCAATGCCGACTGAATAAAACTATAGCACGACAGTCCCGCTATACAAAGGCAAAGGTGAACCCGTGAACTGATCATCATATCGGGGTATACGTCTGTTAGACACTCCCTGAAAATTGTCGAAAAAATCATTGAGAGAAGATTAACGTCGTGCATCACAATCGGAAATTATCAATTTGGTTTTCTAGCGGGGAAATCAACAATTGATGCAATTCACATCCTTCGGCAACTGCAAGAGAAGTACCTCGCAAAGCATCAACAACGATCACACATTTTGTAGACATTGAAAAAGCATTTGATCGAGTTCTCCGTGAAGCAATCAGGTGGAGTCTACGTCGACAACTCATTCCAGAATATCTTGTTCGACTTGTGATGGAAATGTATACGAATATTAAAACTCTCGTCAGCACAACGGTTGGAAACACAGATGCATTTGATATCGGCGTTGGAGTTCACCAAGGCTCGATTCTCAGTCCACTGTTATTTATAACTGTGATGGAAGAAATCACAAAACCGATACGCACTGGTATATGCTGATGATATCGTTTTAACAGCCACGTCTGAGCAGAATGCAGCACAGATGTTTGAAGATTGGAACACCAGACTCGCCGATCATGGATTCAAAGTCAACATCAGCAAAACCAAAGCAATGAACACTGGTGAACCCATCCAACTCACAGCTACTGGACGATGGCCCTGTTCAGTTTGTAAAGCTGGTGTAGGTAACAATTCAATCAAATGTCAGCAGTGTAACCAGTGATGTCACAAACGTTGTTCAAAAATAATTGGTACTTTATCTAAAGTTTCCAATTTTGTTTGTCCCGCTTGCATCAATCCAAAACAACAAATTCGAAATAGCAATGTTTTTGAAGCCATTAAGGTAGAGAAAGTCACATCGTTTCAATATCTAGGAGATGTTCTGGATTGTACTGGAACAGCTGAAGCTGCCGTTCGAGCACGCATACGTGCAGCCTGGAATAAATGGCATACCCTTGCCTCTATATTGATGCGGCGTGACATCCCACTACCACTACGGTCAAGACTTTATAAATCTGTGATACGTCCGATGTTGTTATATGGTGCAGAAACATGGCCAATGACAACCAAACTGGAACAACAACTTCAATGAACCGACATGAAAATGCCACGATGGGTGCAACGAATTAGCCTGAAGGACCACATCAAATCTACCTTAATCCTGCGTCGTGCTGGTTTAGATGATATAAAGGACGAATGACGGCAACACCTGGCCGCGGTGGTTTGGTCATGTGAAACGAAGTGGAAACAGTGCCATAACTTCTCTTGCAGATGTTGATGTACCTGGCACACGTCCCAAAGGCCGTCCAAAGAACTCCTGGTCGCAAACAATCGAGCAAGACATGAAAGCTCTAAATTTAAATGAAATGGATACAACTGATCGTCTAATTTGGCGCAAAAAGTTGATGGCAAAGAAAACAACGTCCTACCACTTTAGATAAAATACCAATTACTTTTGAACAACGTTTGTGACGCTGTTTACACTGCTGAAATTAGATTGAATTGTTACCAACACCAGCTTTACAAACTGAACTGAGCCATTGTCCAGTGTTCATTGCTTTGGTTTTGCTGATTTTGACTTTGAATCTATGATCGGCGAGTCTAGTGTTCCAATTTTCAAACATCTGTGCTGCATTCTGCTCAGATGTGGCTGTTAAAACGATATCATCAACATATATTAGATTCCAAATGTCACCAGTGCGTATCGGTTTTGTGATTTCTTCCATCACAGTTATAAATAACAGTGGATTGAGAATCGAGCCTTGGTGAACTCCAACGCCGATGTCAAATGCATCTGTGTTTCCAACCGTTGTGCTGACGAGAGTCTTAGTATTCGTATACATTTCCAAGACAAGTCGAACAAGATATTCTGGAATGAGTTGTCGACATAGACTCCACATGATTGCTTCACGGTGAACTTGATCAAATGCTTTATACTTTATATCTTTATTCTCTATACCATTTATACCTCTATGCTTGTCAAAAATCATTCTAATAAATTAAAAACAAAATTGACTCAAGCTGGTTACCTTGAGGGACTCTTTTTTTTATTTCACAATACCTTTACATACTATCATTCACTCTTACACAAAATTTTTTTCAAACCAAATAATTGTAAACAAAATCTATTGCCATCTAGTAGTCCATCTAGAATCTAGATTGAATTATTCTGAAAAGAGTAATATTCCACCCTTTCGATCCTTTTCTTGAAACTGTTACTTTTTATATGGTTTTGTCGGTGGCCACGACTTAAAATTTTGTAAACTTATAAAACATTTTTTGTCAGTACAGATGCTGTAGTTTAAGTTTGAAGCACTTTTTAAAATCTAAAAGTAGACAAAAAGCACGACTATTGTAAAAATGCAACATTATTTAACGGCTAACGTGCAAAAATTTGAAAATTGCTGCTTAGGATTATCAAAATTTAATCATTCTTATCATTTTAATCCACTGTAAAAATTGTTAGTTATGAATGAACTGAATTATTTTTAAAGAAATATTTATGTTATTTTTATTTAAATGATTTTAGAAACCAAATAGGAATAAATTTTATTCAATTTAGTCTAACAGTTTCAAACATATTTGAAAATATCAACCGTTCATATCATTATGAGCTGCATTAAATATATAGATATAATTGCATGAGTGCGCAATGCGTTGGTATGTATTGCTTGAAGTAATACAAACTTAACTATAAATATGTCCTTACCTAATGATCTATCATATTTTCTTCATACAGAACGATTTGATGCCAGTAGCAGTAAAATATTGGGAAAAAACCTTACAAATCAACTCTCATCATTTGACCATAAAAATTTTAAGGTATTTTTGAAATATTTGGTGCACTTTTACAAGTAGTCAATGCTTAATTAAATTTTATTCTCGCAAAGTAATATTCAACTTTTGAAAAATTCAAATTATGTGTATTTTTTTAACCGCAATAGTTTTAACCACAAAAGTGCCGGATTTATAAACTTTTAAAATCCAGCACTTTTTATGAATGGAGTCAATTTATATGTTTTATCTGTTTTTTAATTTATCTATTTTTTTTATTTTCAAGTAGATTTAACAACTTAAAATCACCAAATAGGTTGTTTTTGTATGAATTTCGTCTTGTCTGCATTTTTTTTCAAATTTTTGGGTTAAAAACTATTACATAAATAAACTTGAATATAAATTAAGCAACTTAAATTAGCCAACCAAATTGCTTTTTTATTAAAAAAATTTATCCTATTTTTAAATCAGTATAACTAATATAAACTTCATTCGGATAGATGTAAGCTTGTTAAAGCTGCTCAAAAAGTGATCCTCTACCATTTTTATGAGTAAAGAAAGTGGAACCTGAAATCGTTACTGCTACTTTTATTTAAAAACAGATAAAGATAGCCAAAAATATTTATAAATTTTTTCTCAGGAAATATTGTTCTGGCGATTATTTTATTAGGTATTAGGTAAATTATTCTCATTTGTTACAACGCATAGTTTAATTAAGTTTTTACACTCTATACCTAAAATTGTCTTGTTTTATTTTAGAAACTAAATTAGATTTTTGATTGATTTCTTTGACTGACTAAATTTTTCGTTTGTTTTTTTGTTTGTTTGGTACATTATCTTATTATTGTTTCTTTTTTTGTTTTAAATTTAGAAATTATTTATTTGACTTCAAATGAAATAAAGCAAATAAAGCAGAGGATGACTGTGAGAAACTCCAAGTATATGTAGCTCATCGAGCACAGCCACTTTGACTAAATTTTCCAATCATTACACTATTAAATACAATCCAATACAATACAGTTTACCAAATACAGTACATTACAATTTACAACACACATTCAATTTTAAAAGTTTACAAAGCACAATACAATACAAATTACAAAACACATTAAGTTTAAATAGTCAATAGATTGTTAATGCACATTGTTTATAAGCACACTTTTCTACCTTCGAGTTCACGTTTAATTGTTCACATTCACACGTGTTCAGGCTTATTTTCGCGTCAAATTACACACGTTCACACACGTTTGCACTCCCTTAGTCACATTAACAAATAATTCAGTTTTTTTACAATGGTGTTAAAAAATATAATTTCCGTTTGTCTTTGAAATTTGACAGGAATGTTCATTGATACTGAAACCCTTTTTTAGAATTTTGGTTCCAGATTCTCGGTTCCCTACAGATGATACATGGGATTGGTTCTTCTTTCGCTTTTGTTTACTTCGTAATAGTCTTGAAACATTGCCAGTAATTCATTATTTAATTGCTTGAATACAAATATTGGGACCAAAAACTGATTAAATTTTTTAAAGTTCAAGTTGTTAGTTGATCTAAACAACTGTTCTGTGTGCGCTTTATAATTTGGTTTAGTTACTATCCTGATGATCCTCTTCTTTATCAATTTAATTGGAAGAGTGATGTAAGAATATGTGCTGGCCCAGACGATGTTATAATATGAGAAAATCGGGACACAAAGTGCATTGTATAACATTTTTAGAGACCTTGTTGTCACATAAAATCGACTCTATTTATCACGGCAATTGATCTTGACAATCTTTTGCATATATAATTTACGTGTCTTTTGAAGGAAAGCTTTTGATCCAAGTGCACACCGAGGAACTTTACTGATTTTATCTCTTCAACCTCAATGATTTTTATCTCAATTAAGATATTTTCTTGGACCAAAGATTATCATTTGTGTTTTTTCATGATTCATTAGGCGATTGCTAAATAATATTTTTTCAAAATTTATTACAAATTTTTACTACCTTGATTATGAGGCTTGTAAATTACAATTATTATTAAATTTTTTAATGGCAATCAATTTATAATTTCAACAGAAAGCATTTCAAATCTTGCATACTCGACTTTGTTGAGATCTTCTCTCAGTTTGAATATCTGATACGAAAATAATGAATGCGAATACACAAACCAACTCTCCCTCCCTGTTTGCAGGAGCGATTTTTGCCAACAATGAATCTTCTGGATGAACCAGATTTTTTGTCATCATTATTGTTATTGCAATACCATTCATTGATACCATTCATTTAAAAATCGTTGCTTGTACCTTTAATCAACCCCGTAGATTACATCTAACACCAATTCGACCATTGATTAACCTGACTCCCTCTTTGAAAAAACTGTACTATCTTCTACCTCCCAGCATCCTCTCTCCCCCTGTGTAAAAAAAACTTTTTTGACTCCTTTTCCATCTTCCTGGCTTTCTCTAGTAACGTCTTCAACTCGTTTAGCTGCTCAGCAGTGAGATAATGGCTCAATATGAGACAATTCATCATTATCAAGTAACTTCATTTTACGAATATTGTTGAGGAGACATCAGCCATCCTTGACTTTGACACTGTCAGACTTAATTAAGATTGGTCGAATGACAACATCACTTTTTTTCCAATCTTGAAAAGCTTTAGTACATTCTTCTTAGAAAAAACCTCATTGATTAAATGGTTATTCACCTTAGAAACCTTACTTTATCATTCTCACTTTTCTGTTGGCTTCTCTCTCTTTTTATTTCATTGCATTGGTCAGAGTTCTTGATGGTTCGATGTCAAAATATCAATTCGATTTCGATTATTTTAGGTTACAAAAATTCGATTTCGATTTTTTTTCAAATGAAAAGCAACACAATAATTTGCATTTAAATTTTTGGTAACAAGTTTCTGGCATAATTTTTAATTTTAATTTGATAACATTCTTTTAAAAAGCAGTTAATCAAATAAAGGATGTTAAAGTTTAGTCAAACCGCAAGTTATGACATAAAAAAACTAATTGTTCTACATGTTCTGGTTTTAGTCGGTTTCGTCGTTCATTTATTATTTGACCAGACATGGAGAAAATCTGTTCACTAGGCGCAGATGTAGCAGGAATTGCAAGATACTTTCTTGCCACTTTAGCAATTGTTGGAAAGCGAGATGCATTATCGGCCCACCACTTGTAAACAGATTCTTCAGGAGCAATAATTTGTTCTTGGAGAAAACAGTCCAGTTCACTTTTCATTCTATCTTTAGGTGATTGACGTTGCTGTCCTTCAGCAGCAGCGGCAACCATATCTTTAAATGTTCCCCATAACGATATTTGTGAACAGTCGAAAGGAGCCGACTTTTTTTTTCCAACTTCCTCTGCATTAGATGCTTTATTTACAGATTGTGCACCAGGTGAAGGAAGTGTAAATGTATGTTCAAAGATCATTTTATCTACAACGTCATCGCAATCATTTTTTGTGGCTTCTTCATTTGTAAATGCATATCGTTTAAATCTTGGGTCAATTAAGCTTGCCATCGCAAACACCTTATTTTTTTCGTGATCTGGCCAACGTGCCTTAATGCCCTAAACTAATGTAGTTTTCAAGTTGATGTGTTCACCGTTGACACTAAAATCTTCCATTTTTCTTTGCAAAATATTCAGCAACGGTATGACCATTGAAGAAGTTGGATATCTTGTGCCAGAAATAAGCTTGGTGGCTTTCTCAAAAGGTTTAAGAGCCTTGATAAAATCGGCAGCCATTCTCCATTCTTGTGCAGTTAGGTTTTCTATTGTGTCGCTTGAAGCCAGTAACATACTCAATGCATCTTTTTGTTCTACAAGTCGTGACATCCTATAATAAGTCGAATTCCATCTTGTTACGCACTCCACCTTAAGTTTGTGTGTAGGGAGATTCAACTGCCTTTGTACCACCAGTAAACGTTGTGTTGCTTTACTTCTGCGATGAAAATGTGCAACAATAGCTCTCGCTTTAGTCAGAAGCGTTGTTATCTCTTTATTGCTGTTGATAGCATCCGTGACTACTAAGTTTGTAGTGTGCGCAAAACATGTAAAATGTTGAAATGTTGCGAGCTGTTTCATAGCCGACTTCATATTAGCTGCATTGTCTGTAATAACAAAAATCGGAATATTGACATTTGGTATCCAGTCTTTTACGCAGTCATCAATAGCCTGAGCCAAATTTCTACCAGTGTGGCTTTCTAGAAAATGAGTTGCTTTAAGGCATTCGTTGTGAATGACGAAATTTTCGTCAAGATAATGAGCCGTGAAACATAAGTACGAATTGTTGGTGTTAGACGTCCACCCATCGGTTGTTAAAGCCAATGATGCCACTTGTTGAATGGATTCTGCAATGTCTTTTTTGAAACTTTCATACAAACCTGGGATGATTTCTTTAGACAGTTTGTGGCGATCAGGCAACTTGTAACGTGGCTCCAAAGACTTGCTGTATGCCACAAAACCTTTATCTTGTACTATGCTGTAAGGCTGTAAGTCGGTACATATCATTTTTGCCAACGTCAAAGTAGCTGCTTTAGCTCGGGGATGGTTCGGTTCCCATTCTTTCACAGAGGTCGAATAGTCAAACATACTAGTTTGACCTTTGTTATCATCCTATAGTGACAAGATATATTAACTACTTAACTAATAATAACTTTAAATGAATATTCATTAATTTAGATTTATAACAGTTGCAATGTTTTTATTTTTTAAAATGAAGAACAAAACAAATTTTAACGCACCTTTTTTTTCGATTCTTCAACGCAAGATTTTTTGGCATTTAGTTCTTCAGACAAACTTGAATGCGTATTTTGCAAATGTTGCTTCAAGTTCGAAGTGTTTCCCGTTGGAGCCTTCACTTGCTTTTGGCATACATTGCACGTAGCATTTTCTGCATTATTTCGTGTGAAATATTCATATATAACGCTGCGTTTTTTGTATTCCTTAGTGTAAGCTTTATTACTACAACTCATACTTTCTTCTTCGTGTGTCACGTTAATAAAAAATTAAATAAAATAACTTAATCTAAATAACTTGAACTTTAAAAATTCAAATTCAATCAACTTTTAACTCTAACCAAAGAAAGATAATAAAAAAATTTAAACTAAAGTTTATCGACGATCAATGAAACGATGCTATCATCATACATGTTATGTTATTTTACGTATATGGGTGCTATATAGACCCAAATAAAAAAAAACGGTGGAATATTTTTATTTTCCATACACGCTTTAAAAAATTGAAATCGAATTGTAGAACAAGTTTTCAACATTTCGATTATCGAATCGATTCGATTTCGAATTTTCGATTATCGTACCATCACTAGCAGAGTTCTTTGAATATTCTTTACATCGTCATTAATATGTTGTACACTCTTCTGAACCTCACTACTAACGACAGTGGCGAATAATCTCTTCATCTCGTTTTTAATCCCAGCACTTTCTTCACCGATCTTTACCTTGGAATCTTTTGCTGTTCTCATTGCCATCAAGCTTCTTTCCAATTGCATCAATTTAAGATTTAATGCTTCTATTCATTTTATTCAATTCGTTCATTTTGTCAACTAATTCAGTGTTACAGGATTTAATTTTATCAATTTTTTTGAGGTTAACTGTAGTCGATTTTAAACACGCGTCGCAAAAAATTTTACATTACCACATATCTCAACCTTAACCAAATCGTAACTTTCTTCAGCTATACCAACGCAGAAGAAAATCTCAAAACGGTTACATGGAATATTTACTGATTCTTTATCATTTTTTGCTTTAACGTTTTTTGAACTTTTACTTTTATTCGTAGCAGCCATAACATTGAAAGAACTGAACAGTAAAGAAGTTTCAATTCGCAACTACAGATGCAGTTTACTAATTTTGTCTAAAAAACTACAAATGCATGTTATTTCGTCTTTTTTAACTAGTTGAAAACTGAAATTCTTAAATTTATTTAATTAAAAACAAAACTAATTTAATTAAGTACAAAAACGACTATTTAACTCTCAAAAAGAAGCAACGCCAGTTCAGTCGGCGGTGATTTTGTTAATTCGCTAGTTTAGGATTCTTGCTATTTGAATGTTTTCAATAGTTTTGTTCATTAAATTTTTATGTAAGCCTTTTTTATTTTCTTTATTTTATTTTATATTATTTTATTTTGTTTGTTTCGTTTCATGTTATTTATTTATTTTGTTTCAATTTTGTGCTTTTTCATAATTGATTGTTTGCGAATTTTAGGTCGAGCCTAGTTGAATCTTTAGAAATTGAGTTATATAAATTTGATTGATTGATTGGTTGATTGATTGATTGATTGATTGATTGATAAGTTTATGATGAGTTTTTTAAAAATAGGTTATTATTAGAATTTAAAATGAAAATTGTAGAATCAGAATTTTAAGTAGAAAATAGCTATGATTATTATACAAAAGAACCAGTAATACAACTCGCAGGCTAGCCAAACTAGAGTAAAGTTGGTTAAAACGGAAATGTACGTTTAGTACATAACACCTAGGTGCGTGTGAATAATGAAATTCTGCTTACAATCCGTAGCATTCGAATGCAAGACAATAATTATCAAAGAGAACTATTCAAGGGCTAAGCACAAACGGCAAGTTAATTTAGAGTCTGAATTTTATTTTAGATTATGTTTTAGCTATTTTGATGAGTTTAGTTTAGTTTGCATAATTCAATAATTAAAAATAGGCAAGTTAAGTTTAAGTAATGTGATTAATTCAAATTTATATTCCACCCTGTTAGACTTGGGCTAGAACCTGCAATTCCTGTTTGAAATTTAATTGTATGGTGTTAAAAACGTGCTACCGCGCGAGTGAATAAGTCAAAAACATTTTTGGATAAAGCTATTCTGACTGGTTCTCAAGCTAAAGGTTTATCCCAGGAAGTGAAAGCAATCTAGTCAGTTCAAAATACAAGCAGAAAATTTAATAATAACCTGGAAAGAACATAGTAATATACAATATTTTAGAGGCAACTGTTGGTTTTCAAACTAAGGATAAAGATTATTTTACCTCGTTATTTAGAAAACGTGTTCTAGATTTGAACAAAAGCTTTGGTCCAGTGTTTGCACCTCGTAACCTTATAAATTAAACAAAAACCAAAAAAGCTTTTGTTCAAATCTAGAACACGTTTTCTTACGTTTTAACGAGATAATTCACCTCGTTATTGAAAAAACGTGATTTAGATTTGAACAAAAGCTTTGATCCAGTGTTTGCATATTACTGAATAAGAATTTGGCCAAATGTCTGATTCATGCATTTATCCATTCGCGATTAGACTATTGTAATGGTCTTTATGGTCTACCTGACAAATCATTCGCAATGATTCAAATCATTCGCAATGATTCAATACATCCAAAATCGAGCTGGAAAGTTAGTTTTGTTGGTACAAAGAAATATGATCATATTTACAAAGTTGCACCGTTAGTTGTGCTTTTGTTTGGAATGGACTACCAATTTATTTAAGAAACGTTGATTCAAGTTTATCTTTATATAAAAATTTTATGTGTTATAGTTTTATTACCTGTTTTGTTTGTTTATTTTTCTCATTTTGACATCGTTTAACTTTTTCTGGTGGTTTTTTTTTTGCTTATTAACTTACTATTATGATTTTTTCATGATTTTCTATAATAATAATAACTCAAATCCGTCGGTTACCGAAGAGGTTTCCACTTTACTGTCTTCATTTATGTCATATCTTAAACGACTTTTACAATTTTTATGTTCTTTCAACCTGTTTGATTACCTAATCACTTATCACTTATTTTTTGAACTTGAGTGTAATAATAAATTTTATCAACTTATAGATTCTGAGTTTATAAATGTTTTACATTCTAATTTATTCTTGTTAAGATGACTGAAGAATGTTCTTAACTTCAGTTTAGGAAAATTTTTAGCTGTTATTTCAATTACCATTGCACTAGGCTTCATTAAGATAAAGGCTTCATAGCGGTAATTATTATAATAAAGAAATAAACGAATGAATAAACCTCCTGAAGATAACCATAAATTTCGATAAATCTGTTTTTATCATTATTTAGCGTTTACAAATTTTACCGTGACAGGCAATGCCTTAGCGATCGAGTACGATACAGTGATAATGACAGTTATCCTTATTGCGTAGATGGGTGCGCCAACCAAACATACTGTGGAGAGGTTGAAGTTCCCGCCAAACATTTAGAAGTGTGTTATCAGATTTCATAAAATCAGTTGATTGTTTGCTGGTTGATTGCTGTTTGTTTAATAAATGTTGATGACATTCCACTGAATGAATCTTTCTAATCATCATTGATGTGTATTATTTACTTACGTTGATGGGAAGGCATTTTTTAAATATTAAATGAATCTTTATAATCAGTACTACAGTACTAATTTATATTATTTTATTTTAAACTTTATATCAATTTTTTAACTATTTGCTTATCTAGACGTGCAGACGTATTTCATCTAAAGGAGATTTTGAAAAGATTGGCGAATCTGGAAAAGGTGTAAATAACGGGCATTTTATATTATATGTTTCTGCCTTTGAATCAGAAAGATGCAGTTTTGAAAGCACGATTGCATATGCTGCTTATTGCAGACTTGATGCCTCATTTGACAGGTTACATTTTTTAAAGCTTTGTTTTGTTGTATGCACTAATTTTTTTTTAATTTAAGACCAGTTGCAGGCTACGTAAACATGTGTCCAGATGAAATTTCTCTGAAGATGTTTGATTTACATCAGATGCATTTTACAATCAAACATGAAATTTTGCATGCTTTGGTATGTAATTTTTGGTTGTACTGTTGATTTGAATAATAATATGAATTTTCAATAATGGCAGACCATAACCCTTGTCTAATACGATAAAGAGACTCACATGCATAGCACACATATTGCATTGCGTTGTAGATTTTGTAGAGCGCGACTATTGAGTTATCTTTAGAGTTATCTTCATACACACACACACACACACACACATATATATATATATATATATATATATATATATATATATATATATATATATATATGTGTGTGTGTGTGTGTGTGTGTTTGTGTGTGTGTTGGTAAAAGACCATAATTGATGCAGTAATTTATGAAATCTACAGAATTTCTAGTGTTGGATAGCTTTTTATTACATTTCTCAATGTTTCTAACCACATTCTTGACATGTGGTCCTGGGTATGACATAAAACTGCATCCACACAGCCTTGCGTGTTTTTGAGCGAAAGGCTAGGCCCACCGCTTATAACTGGTGGTTATCGTCAGGATGGGTGTCCGGATGTAAAAAATTTTCTCCAAATTATTCTTATGCCATCACAAAGAAAAACAACGGCCCCTAGTCCCCAGCAGGCCTTAAGTGGTCAAGGGGTGCCAAGAATCCCTGGGAAGTATGCAATAGCGGAGGGATGTTGCAGAAAAATTCAGAATGGCCCCTCTATGGTACTTAGACTTGGAACGCTCAATGTTGGATCACTGAATGGCCGCAGCATGGAAATCGCAGAAATGCTCGAGCGTAGAAGGATTGACATCTGCTGCCTTCAGGAAACCCGATGGAAATCGAATGGTGTCTGTCACATCAACTCAGACAAAGAAAAATATAAACTATTCTGGAATGGTCAAAAGACGGCCAAAAATGGTGTTGGAATTTTTGTCAGAGAACCGCTAGCCCAAGAAGTACTGGATATTAAAAGGATTAGTTCACGTCTTATGTGGATCAAGCTTCGCATAGAAAAGCAAACATTGATTATTTTTTCTGGATACGCACCATAGACAGGCGAATCAGAAGAGATGAAAAATGACTTCTGGACTGCATTCTCTGACACCATCTCAACAATACCAAAATCTGAAACAATCCTGATTGGAGGCGATCTCAATGGCCACGTTGGAGAGAAAACAGATGGTTTTGACAACGTACATGGCGGTTTTGGCTATGGAAAACGGAATGAAGATGGCAACCGCATCCTTGAGTTTGCTGAAAGTCACGGGTTTTGTTTATTGAACACATATTTTAGAAAGAGGTTGGAACATCTCATAACATACAAAAGTGGACCGTCAGCCACGCAAATTGATTTCTTCGCTGTCAAGCAACAACATCGAAGGCTATTCAAAAACGTCAAAGTTATACCTGGCGAATCATGTGTCGTCCAACAGACTCCTTGTGTCAGACCTGGTTGTCGAACTGTCAAAACATAAGTCTAAACAAATGCCTCGGAGAATCAAAACATGGAAGCTGAAAAGCAATATTCATCGACAAAAATTTCAACAGATTGTCGCCACACAGTTAGACCACCAATCGCAAGCCAGTACAGATTGGAGTACATACAAAACCGTTTTAATGAATGCTGCAACTACAGTTTGTGGGAAAACTGGTACAAAACGTCAGCATGAACGTGACACTTGGTGGTGGAATGACAGTGTACAAAATGCAATAGCTGAAAAGAAAGTTGCATACAAGAAATGGCAAAAATCAAAGTCTGTTGATGACCATAACATTTTCCGTGAGAAGAACAACTATGCAAGACGTCAAGTTGCACTGGCTCGGACAGATCAGTACAGAGAGTGGCTCACTAAAAGCAAAGGTGAACAAATGAAATCTCTGTAAGAGCAAAACAAGCAAAGCGTACGAAAAAAGACATAGTTGGTGCCCCATGTATCAAAAACGACAAAAATAAGATGGTTTTTGAACAAGATGAGATCAAGCTACAGTGGAGAGAATACTTCAACCGTCTGTTAAACGAAACAAATCCCATCAATGTTAACTTTGACGCTCCACCCATCGAAGGTCCGATTCCAGACATCACTATAGAGGAGCATACAGAAGCTCTAAAAGCTATGAAGGATGGAAGGCAGCAGGGCCCTCTGGACTCACAAATGACACTATCAAAGCATCTGGTACTGCAGGTATCCAAACGTTACTACAACTATGCCGTGAAATCTGGAGAAATTGCTCGATGCCGACTGAATGGAACTATAGCATGACAGTCCCGCTATACAAAGGCAAAGGTCATCCATTGAACTGTTCATCATATCGGGGTATACGTCTGTTAGAATACTCCCTGAAAATTGTCGAGTAAATCATTGAGAGAAGATTAACGTCGTGCATCACAATTGTATGTTATCAATTTGGTTTTCTAGCGGGGAAATCAACAATTGATGCAATTCACATCCTTCGGCAACTGCAAGAGAAGTACCTCGCAAAGCATCAACAACTATCACACATTTTTGTAGACCTTGAAAAAGCATTTGATCGAGTTCTCCGTGAAGCAATCAGGTGGAGTCTACGTCGACAACTCATTCCAGAATATCTTGTTCGACTTGTGATGGAAATGTATACGAATACTAAGACTCTTGTCAGCACAACGGTTGGAAACACAGATGCATTTGTCCCGCTTGCATCAATCAACAACAACAAATTCAAAATAGCACTGTTTTTGAAGCCACTAAAATAGAGAAAGTCACATCGTTTCAATATCTAGTGGATGTTCTGGATTGTACTGGAACAGCTGAAGCTGCCGTTCGAGCACGCATACGTGCAGCCTGGAATAAATGGCATCTCCTTGCCTCTATATTGATGCGGCGTGACATCCCACTACCACTACGATCAAGACCGGCAACACCGTCTGTGAAACGAAGTGGAAACAGTGCCATAACTTCTCTTGCAGATGTTGAAGTACCTGGCACACGTCACAAAGGCCGTCCAAAGAAGTCCTGGTCGCAAACAATCGAGCAAGACATGAAAGCTCTAAATTTAAATGAAATGGATACAACTGATCGTCTAATTTGGCGCAAAAAGTTGATGGCAAAGAAAACAACGTACTACCTCGGGAAACCGGGTCTCTGGACGCAAAACGAAGATTGATTGATTCTTGACATCATTATTTCTTTTATTAAAGTTAGAATTATATACTGTTTTCCAATTATTCTCGAGTGTATAGGACCTATTTCGATTTTTCAATCATCTTCAGAACATAGGCTTGGGTTATACAAATTTTTTATATAAACCATCAAGTGCTGAAGATGATTGAAAAATCGAAGTAGGTCCTATACACTCGAGAATGAATTGGAAAACTGATGAC